ACACGCTAGTAGCGATTAGAATAAGTGCAGATTGGCCGCATATCATGATCCGTGACATCCAAAAAGTGTTTAGGAAAAGATAATAAGGAATTAAGTGAAGGTAGGCAATACCTATTATAATGTATAGCGCTTAATTTAGCAGAATTCTTGTTAATTTTCGACATTGCAAATGACAATTCAAATTTTATAAAATTGAAAAAGGTATGGTACTTTAAGTATGTTGCAAGTATATGAAGTTAAATATTCGAAAAAAAAATGTGTTGGAAAATACAATAATGAAATTAGTGAAAGGAGTGAACACCTATTACAGTGTACAGGACACCAAGTCATGTTTATTTTGACATTTAAAATTTACATAAATATACTGTGGACCAAGGCATTTGAGAAGTCCCTTTTGTCTCGCGAGAATTTCGCTATTTTCCAGGTGGATCTACGTAAAGGAATGACCTTTTATAATGACGGTGAAAACATCTAGAGTTGGTAATCAGAAAGTTTTATTAGAAAACTAAAAATTCAAATTAACTTTTTCCGGAAATAAAAGGACCAATAATTCATGACAAAGAGTGAGAGAGGCACATGTATGAACTGGATCATTATTTTCATACAATTGCTGAGATGGTTTATTCAGAGGGAACGATATGTGTGTTGCGATACTTGACAGAAATAATCTCTTCTATTTTACGAATTTGTTGGGCATATTTTTTGGCCTGAAAATGAATTAAAGAAATGACAGTAAAAGGCATAATAAAATCAAGAGATCTCTTTAATTCATTTTTATAGCGGAAAGGAGCTATTCTATTTACCACAATCCTTTCTTCTGCAAGAACTAGTTGGTCTTACTATCCCCATTCAAAAAAAGAAACATGAAAATCTACTTAAGACCATCATTTCTAATCTTTTAATTGACTTGAAACATGCAAAAACGTTTGGAATAGAAAAAAATTTTTAAGAATCAAAAACTTACGTCGACATCACCTTCATTATCGGCTATTCCAAGTGAAACTCGAGCAATCCTTCTACATTCAGCATCTCTATCCGAAAGCAGTAATTCTAAACTACTACGTACAATTGACGAATCACGCAAATCATGAAACGCAAGACCACCACACGTTTTCGAAAGAGATCTAGCGAAAGCTAGGCGTACGTTCGCTACTACTAAAAATTCAAAATATCTGGTCTAAAATTATAGTCTCTCGAGTTAAAACTAAAGACCATCAAATATAAATATTCTTGATATTAAGTATCACCGTGGTAAACTTACAATCTCTAGCTAGCGGGATCAAGTCATCTAACAGGAGGAATGAAAATTGGTCGTAGGTTAACAATCCCCCTTCTAAACTTTGCTGACAAAACAAAGCAAAACTGAAAGTATCTTACTGATACAAAATTGTATTAAGTTATATGAATATGAAAATTCGGTACGAAAAAGACATTAACTCACTAAAAATAAAAATAGAATACCCAAACTGGCATCCAAATTTAGCAAAAATAAACTTACGTTTGTCTTCTTCGCCAATTCATAGACCTACTAAAACCTTTCACAATATCAGAAATAAATGATTTAGTAACAGGCAGAGAAGAAACGTCAGTTGCTGATGAGTCGAAACAGTCCAGGATCCATTCTTTTTTCACCAATTTTCCCAATATTTTAGCCAAAAGTTTTGTCGCTTCTTTACGTACATCTGATATCCTATCTAACATACCAGAAGTTAATTATAGAAAAATGTAAATCCGATACTGAAATAATAAATGGATATATGAGAAGGAGCACAAATGGTCATTTATTCATTCTTATATGTAAAAACTTGACATAAAAATGAATAAATGTTAAATGAAAAATGAACTAACCGTTAGCTAAGGTCAGAGCTATTGCAACCAAATACTCGTTTATGTCATGTATATTAAAAAGATCACACAAAAGAATGCACTGTCTGTAATAAACAATTAAAAAAATGCAACAAGAACAAAAAAATTTCGTGAATTATGGTGAATTCGACATAAGAATATAAACTACCAAAATCAACTAACTCCATGAGCAATACTATAAATAGTTCTAATGAAAACTACAAAATCAACTTATTTTACCTAATATATTCATATCTATTTCGCCAGTTACGTTCATTACTAGTGTCAGGATGTAAAAAATTTGGCAACACAGATAAAAGTTTCTGCCGCGTGGCTGGAGTCACCAACTGAAGTAAAACAAATTAAACTCTTCATTCCTTACCTTAAAATAAAAGTAGATTATAATAAATTTAAATTTTAAAATAGGGACTTAGTAACTAAAAAATCATAATACCACTAAATTACTTTTATAACTAAAAAATCATAATACCACTAAATTACTTTCAGGTCTTTTCTAAAGAGTAATTAAAACAAAATTTAGCATAAGTTCTTGATGAGGTCAAAAATGTGCCTTAAAAAAATCATAAAGATGACTCAGCAGACCAAGTTTTACACTTCCAATATCTTTCATAAACTGTTCAAATACAGGTGCTAAATGGACATCAGCATTTTCTTCCCCAATAATCGCAGCAATTTCATGAATTGATGATGCTAATGCATGCCGAACACGCCACTGACAAAAAAAATTTCAAAATTAAAACGCGATATTTGCCTTTTTCATGTTTCTCATTCTTTATCCATAGAAGTTTTTCAATAATTCTGAGAATGACGGATATAAATTCTCTGCTTCAATTTCACTTGAACTACGAAACCGAAGCTGTCCAGGCCTTAGATTTAACCCTATATAGATAAAATATTTGACATCTTGTATTTACATTACTTAAAAACCCTCGTACGAACATTATCTACGAAAGTTTGACAGTGAAATATTTGCTGCAAATGAATCTTTTGATAAATCCCGTCTATATGAAGTTCTAGAAAATGTTAATTACATAAAATTTACTTGCATGTCAGACGATAACTGTTTATAGGTACCCACAATACATGACCAGTTCCTACGACCAAGGGTGAATGCAACTGCTGGAAAACTGCGAGCACACTGTTGATTTATGTCAGCATCATCAGCATTAGCAGGCCGAACCATTTGAATGAAACTGTCCAATAAAGGTTGTGGAATCACCATCTGAATACTATCAAGTTTATTGTTGTTGTTAAATCACCAAGAATACTTATCAAGTTTATTGTTGTTAAATCAAGAAAGCAATTATTGATTAAGTAATAGTGCCAATAAAGACATTTGGAATACGTTTTGGATAGACAAAGACAAAAAAAGATATGCAATCATGGTATCCAATAGTATATGATAAAAAGCCATGATTTCAATGAGTTAGGCTGATAATCACAGTGAAAATGAACCTGCGCTACGACTGTGACAGATGCGGATGTTACTAATTCATTACCATTATTTCTACCAGAATAAGACTTAGCAGTAGTCGGTGTGCTTTTATTCACTTTATCAGAAAATGAATTCAGCCTGTCAACAATCTCTTTTTCCACAATATTTTCACAATGTTTTTCTAACTTTCCATCAGAAACAGCTTTCTCATGAACCTGAAAAGATTTAAAGGATAAAAAGGATTTTTATCCTTTAAATCAATGAAAATGATGGATTTAAAATAAACGATATAAACGATTGGAATTTACCACACTAGCCTGACTAATAAGTTAATACTATTCAGTAAAAGATGAATAAGGTCTGAACGCCCGAAGTAATAAGAGCACACATGCAATAAAACCACTATCAAATATAACATATGTAGCTGTATGCTAATTAAAACAATTCCTAGTTATTTTATATAACTGGCTAATGACAAACATTAGAATATAGTTGTTCTGAGGTGTCGACAAATAAACTTGATCGTCGCCGAATAAATTTATCTATAAGCTGCTCTATATGGCTTTTATTTCTACCATTACTATTGCTAACACAGTCTACATTTGCCTCAGTTTTGTATGATGTCAGATCAATATCGACATAACCCAATGACCAATACTGCAGAGAACAATATGCGTCTACATTATCGCCGATATTGGTTTGCGATGACTCCTAGACAAACTTTAAGTAAGAAATAAAAGGACTAATTTGATGTAACTGAATCTTAACCATCTTTAGCATTCATAATGAGAGCTCTAGTAAAGTTAATCTTGACTGTCGACCTAAGAATGAAAAAAAAGACACAATTCTAAGGAATCTCCACTTCTTCCAATAAAAAGTATTTACTTTAAAGCAGACATTTATGTCATTTTCATCATTTACATACATATAGCAAGCTTCTTCACCATTAGCGATATTCACATTTTCCTGCTTTCTTAGTGTAGTCTTCGCTCCATGAAAACTGAAACTTAACTCCAATATATCATTGCTCATTTGAATGGTAAGCAAAACCAAAACTTTATTATAATGTGCGAATGAAACATACAAATTATTATCAGATGAAACTTGTGGCTCAGAATAGCTGTTCGACAATGCCCATGAGTCCAAAAGAGAACGCATTTTATTGGAAATATGTCTGAAATGAAAAGGACGAAGCTAACATAATGTATTTTTCATCAACTTTGACGATGTACAATCCTTTGCTAAATTTAATCTTAATTAGTCGAGAAATGATACACTAAAGCATATAGGTTTATATGTATGTAGATGAGTGAGATAATGCATGGCTGTTATCAATACAATTTCAGCTACAATTTAAACTGTTTTAATAGACCAATATTACTTGAAAAATTAAGTTTTGTGCAGTATGTCATAAATATTTAACAAGCCGCTAGTGACAAATTCTTCTGAGAAAATAGTGTAGCTCCCGAACCTATCATCTTCAACTGTCAGTGAAACCGAAGGTGAGTAATGCCCACAGTTCGTTGCATATATATTTGGAAATTCAACACCAGGAGGCAGTTGATGATAAAAGTTGCTCTCGTCGTCATTAATGCTTATCTTATTGTCGTCCTTGCGATCAACCGTATCATCGATGCCTTCCACCATTTCATCTTTAAAAATAAATCAAGTGAAAATCACTGATAAACTCAAATTCAGTAATGATATTTATATCCTTTTCGAAAGAAAATATAGAAGAGTTGCAATGTAAAAGTACAAGCTATGAGGTCAAATGTAAATATAACAAATGACATCAGGAAAACAAAGGATTTCTGTAGAACCCATTATGGTCATTCCGACCTAATATTCTCCAAGGAGTAAACTACCTAACATTGGTGTACCAATTCACAGAAACAAATAAACTTACTGTTAACACTAACTAAGCGACCATTTCTCAACTTTAATTCGCTATGGCTAGTATCTGCAAATGTTGCAATGAATGCTCCGAGCTCTTTATAAGCCGTATGTGCTACCTAAAAAACTTATTATTCTGAAATATCCACATGAAAGTAACAATCCAAAACCTTCTATTATGATTTGATACCAATTTTTCATAATGAACGCGTTAAATCAGGTACAAAAATTAGTGTGAAAAAAATTAGTGCAGAAAGATAATACTGTAGAGATCAATTCACAATTGGATGTAAGCGAGAAAAAATAACATCTCAAAATAAATGGGAGATAAAGGCACTGGCAAGCACATAAAATATGTGCCAATAACGGATGATGAACTAAGGAAAATTCAATTATTGTAGTATGCATATATTACAATCTCATACAAATGGGTTAATCTGAGCTGAATGTAGAGCATTCACTGTAACTAAAACAGAAACGGAAAAAATACTAATCTGCGGGCAAAAAAAATTTTGTCAGTGAAACTACTCGATTTAAAAAAATGTTTTTTCCACATTATAAAAATCGAAATTCAGAAATACGAGTATATGAGATTTTAGTACAAACTTTTGCACGCTAGATTTTGCATTTGTATGGTGAATTGAGAACGGAAACGATAATGGTGTTTATACATGAAATGAATGAAAAAGCACTGATAGGGAAAAAATAGTGATATTACTTGTAAGACAACAAAGGAGTCAAATAAATAAGTTCTGCTACAGTTGAAACTACCATAATATGAAGACCACTTTTAATTTCCTAGTAATTCCTATAGAAATATCACGTATTTTTCTCTGCTTTCAATATCAAAGGATAAAATAAGCTATTTGAAGTAATCGTATCTTGGCTTGCAAGATATTTGAAAATCATGTTATTATTTGACAAGCGAAAACTAAAAAATTATGAGAGCCAAGCAAGCATTAACAATTTATGATAAAGTATGAAACACCTAACTGAAGTAAATGCAGATATGAATGGCATGCACTGCTTTTACAATAGCAATCAACATGTAAGAAATTTGCATACCATATTTACCATAATTACATATAAAAGTCTTAAAGAATCATTAAAAAAAAAAGTCGAAATAGGAAGCAAATAGAAAATTTTTCTAAGTTTACCCAACGTGAGGAATCTTTCAGCAAAGAGATGAAACATGGTGTTAGTTTACGATATTTCGTTTCCATTGTACAATTCATAGCCACGTCAACAAACACGTCACATGATGTCTTACGTACACTCCAGACTGCATCTTTACTTAACGCAAGTAGGAATGGTACAGCAAACTAGAATAAACTAACGGTAGCACGTAGTATGAAGAACAAACAATATAAATTGTAATATAACTTCAGATGCCACCACTTATTACTTGAGTGAAGTAAAGTTCACTATCTTGCAAACAACCACAAACAAAATGCAAAAATTTTTTTTGTAAAAACGGTTTTTCTACTCATAACTAAAAAAATTGTTGGCCTGTAAATCGAAAAAATTCTCTATAATCCAAAAAATGCAAATTTGTAATAAACTTATGAATTTACTTGTTCGGTAAAACATGTACCATACATCATCGCTAATGTCCCAAGAATGCTCCCACAGGTCTGAAACAACTCTTTAAACTGTGAATTTATCAAAAATTCCAACAAAATATAGGAGGAATAACACTGACTAATATCCCTTTCATCATTTTTCGAATCTTTTAACTTTACTTTTTATCATCTACTCGAATCATTATAATGTCCAGCAGTCTGAGGTCAATCTAATTTTGTTTTTGATTCTCGTCCAGCACCCTCGCTGACTTGCCCGACACTCAGTTCTAATGTTAATTAAATAGTCACAAGTGCAGAAATTCCAGCTAGAAGTGATACAGAATAACAATATGATTAATATGATGGCTACGGGAAGAGAACATGAGGAAACCAGTGACATCAATAAATTTCTTCCAGTAGAAGGATACATATGAAGGACCAAATTGTACTTGTGCCATGTACTTTATCTACGGCTGTGTATGACACTTACTCATCTACGGTTCGAACATGAACATCAGACTCAAGTGACCACTTTTTGCCGCTTTAGAATGAACCCCGATAGTCTCACAAAGTTCAGTGAACCTGTAAGCACATCCTCTATGAATTACAAACTAACTGAAGCCTACACACGTGCCTTATTTAATGTCTTTACTTTGGTAAGGCAAAAATGACCCTCTTCCATAAAAACTCAGGCACCACTATTCTCGAATAAGGCCATGACCAGAAAATCTCGAATTTGCCGCACCCTCATCTTCTGATAGCTGCAGTAAAATAGAGCACGGCGACATTGACCAACTCGTCTAGAATACCTATTTAGGAACCAAAAATTATCTACGTCCACCTCAGCTACAACTATCGTATCTTATAGAACCGAAAATCCACTACACTTCAGCTACATAAATGTTTGCAACCACTCCGTAAAATAGTAAGCAATGTCACTTTACATTGCACTCGGTTCCAAATCAGGTCCTATCTCCAGTTTTTGTTCGCATCACTAAAATTATAGCCACGTATTGACATTGATCCATAACCTTTACCACGCAACTAAACCCAGGACTTACATCCCTACGTCCAAAACCGCTTATATCAGCTTCCACACCCAAATACACTCCTCTTACATGTGTAACAAGATTACCATTATACACAGCTACATACTTAGATTCAGTAAAACAAGAACAAGCATTACTTTTCTCACATGTAACGTTTCATCTTGCAAAAGAGTGCTGTATCTGCCAAGAAAATTCTCATAGATCCATCTTTTCGTCAGCTTTCCCGGTGTTGTAACAATTTTGCAGAGCAGCTGAAACAGTAGAACACTTTATTCTCTCCGGACCTATAATCCAAAGTCAGCCATCTCAAACCAAACTACTTTAATCTGTATGTTGTGTTAGTGCTTTCATCAATAAAACTTTATTTCTTGAATGTAAGGCTCACTGGTTACCATCAGTTACGCCATCAAGCCATTACAATAAACACGAATATTTGACAAATAAATGCATGCACATGTATATCCATATTTTTTACTAGTATTATGACCATCATAAAAGTACAAAAACTTCACAAATGCGAGACAATTCATCAATAAAGAGCAATTTCAAAACCTGATCAATAAATATGAGTAAAAACGTATGCTCCTCAACTGCTGTTCATCGTCAGAAAAATGAAAACAGGATATATAATAAGATGTTTTACAACAGCAAAATGTAAGTAAAACATAAGTAAATTTCATTTCGTCAGCAGTTGTACCACATATGAAGAGCAAGTTATGATGATCATGTAGAAATGCTACAGACAATCTCTCAACAATCTAACGAAGAAGGAAAAGCTCGCATGCAATGAGACAAACGCCACACATCAAAGCTGGCTGTGATATGAATTTCATTTAACGACACATCACGGACCGCTTTGACGCGTTGGAGAAGCCTATTGAACGACGATGACCTGTCGAAGCTGCAGAATAGAAATGCAATGCAGCAACAGATAACATCGCTGAGAAGCGGCTCCGAACGCGTCTAGCAGTGGATAAGTGAGAAAGGGTTGATTGGCAACTTGCCGCCAAAATGAGAAATCTGCGTCCAAAGACACGCTATTCAGCAAATGGCCTCCATTCAGGAAAATAAGACACTAAGCAAAAGCCCATCATATTACAATGAGGCGCAGCTGGTATCGGGTGTAATAATGCCGATTGAAAATTTCGATTCATAAGAACAAGTAAGTGGTTGACGAGGACTGTTCAGCATATAGGGACCAAGACCAGTGCAGCAGGGACGAATGCACTCCATCAAATGCTTCACTTTTTTTGCTGGCTGCGTGAGGAGCCATGGATTGCAGGAAATGAAATTCAAAAAATGGGAGGGGGCAACTAAACTGCTACTAGATGCGCCTGTTGTTGCCGCCAACTCTGGTCAGCATACACTGCCAGCACATCACAGTTTATTGATAACCACAATAATGCCACTATCTGTCCTATCCCTCTTCACAAACCCATCATCACAAAAAGTTAACCATTATAGCAATTTCACCAATATCACTACTACAACCAATGACGATCCACACATCACTTAATACTGACCTACTTCTGTGTATACCTATCTTGTCCTTCGAAAATACAAGCTCAGCATAGTTATAGTTACACGGGTGAGAGCAATGTTCTAAGTGCAAGAATGACTTTCAACAGCATTTGAGTACCATTATGCCAATTATATTAAAATGATTCGAGAAGCATACGAACTGAACTCCAAAACTGATAACCGGAATAATACAGCAACAGTGATCACCATATATAAAACGAGATTATAATCGGAATATCCATTGCACTGATGATACTTGATAGAAGCCTAGGATTACAATGAAGAACAGAAAGTATTCTCAATCGGACCAGTAATATGAAATGGAGGGGGCGTTGCCGTGATATGAGGCGAAAAACAGAATAGTGATACGACATTCAATTTCTAACGTCTCACTACCCATGTCTTTCACCATTACACACAGCATGCTCCGAAGAGTAACACTGTTGCCTTTTGAAAATAATCTTAAATTACATTATATAACCCATTCTTTTTCAGCGCCTAAACTGGCATCAACCATGTTGCTTTCGCCCACTTTTGTAACGACTCTTTTCGAAGCTGCTTACCACTGTCCTATCATATCATCCCAAGAATAGAAAGGAAGAAATAAAGGGTGAGGTTGCAGGAGGATAGTATAACAGAAATGGAATTGGCTAATGAATTTAAGAATATGGATGAGGGACATAAATGAAAGATGATCTGAATTACACGTAAACAGTAAGCAGTATTAACGCAAAGGATGATTAATACAGCAGGAATTTGGTAGCCACCTTAACTAACACATTTGGCTTATACTACCAATCATTCAAAAACACATCAGAAACAAACCATCTCAAGATGGCTCGTCAGCACAGAAACAATTACATGCCAAAGACAATGCTTTGGATGTAGCTGCCAGTAATTGACAACTACACCATGACTCGTGTCCCAGTGCGCCCACTCGAAGTGCAGAGTAAGGTAGGAAGAGATGGATGGGGATAAAAAATAAGCTGTACTTACCGTTAAAGATTCGTCTCGCTGGTCATCCCTGAAGAAGTGTGAGTAGGCTTCCGCAGTGAAACAGTGACCGAGCAACGTGGGACATATTACCTCTTGCAGCCCTTCTGAAATGAAAAAAAACGAAGTTATAGAAGTATATTTCCCATTCTCCTGTTTATTAGAACGACGATAATTTAAAGATATAGAGATGGTTACAGAATGATCACAACACTGCTAGCCATGAGAGGTATTATGTAGCTCTTTGAATCGTTTCTCAGGAGTAATGAGTAAGATGTAAATTGTAACAAGTGTAGACGATGATTAATGACTAACCAGTATGCTGGCACATATGCACATTTGTGTATATGCTCACATGCACATACACACAGCGACAGAAGTAGTCACACTACAACGCAAGCGACGGCAGATAACACTTTCACTCTCACCTAATATGTCACCCCTAATAGAGCTCGAGCTTCCCGCCCAGAAGTGAAACGCACAGCTCGCAGTATATCAACCGACCTCCACCTTCTTCCTCCATACACTGACATCCGATCAATCAATTGGCCTCGCCCTCTCCAACTTTTTGCCAAAAAACACGACAAATCTAGCCCCGCCTCCCCCGCATCTTCTTCAGGAAGAGCCACTTGTGGGCGAGCTCTTCGCAAGTGTTAGACTAGCAGATCATCTTTTTGCAAAGCCCTCTCCCTTGCCAACAATTACCATCCCTATGCTAAACACTCCTTCTCCATGCAACTCAGCTGTTTTCTATACTCCCTCATCGCTTTGCTGCTGAAACTGATATCGATCCACTATTTGCTTTTTTACAATTTGAAACCTGAATTTGCCGCTACAAATATTTCTTACCAACAACAGCCTACGCGAATAATATATTATCTAAGGTCATAAACGTCTGCACATGTGAACGTGAACTGTCCGCCACCGAGCTACAAAGCCCAAATTCCGGCATACTCATAACGCAGAGCAAACCTGTGAAACGAAATATATCAGCCGCAACTCAACTAAAAGCCATGTAATAAAAAGTTTCAAGCTTCACATGATCCAGCATAGGATAAAGCGCAATCCAATACACATGCACATCGCAACTCCTTCTCATGCGTGAGTGGTGATCTTTGATCAGCACTCAGCGAATACACAATGCAGACAGGTCACATGCTTATTCAATATCCCATCAATATGATCCTAGTTACAAATCATGCCGATTAACATCGACTGATAGGGTTCATTAAAGAAGAAATGTCTAATAGTCACAGCAGACTCAAGGGACTAAAGAATGAAAGAAAAACAAGTTTTCCACTATTAACAATGACTTGCTCAGTGTAGCTACTGGGCCAAGATCATGTCCTAGAGCATTTCAAGGAAGAGATGTTGGATAGATAGAGAAGTACGGAACGACTAGACAAACACTTCGTTTTTTTATTAACAAACAATAAGAAACATAACAAAAGTACAATAAAATTGCCAACGTGATTTATTCTCCTCTTCACTTTATATTTCTAGCACCCGTGCTTCCCTTGCATTTGCAATCATTGCTTTCTGAAGGTAGAAACGCATGACCTAGTACTACCACCACTACTTATTAATTCCTTTACTCTATTTCTGCACTTGTGCAATTGACCCCACTGCCGTACACTGAAGTTTCTCACCCATTTTTTACAACTGAAATTAAAACATCTCCACAACTACATGTCATAAGCGTATGTATATACTAAATGAATAAATGAAAGCAGGGTGGAGCAACGATCCTCACTCTCCCACACCTCTCACACAGATTGCTGTTGTCGTTCTTTCTTCTCTCAATACTGGGATAGAAATGGTTGAGAACTAGATTACATTTGTGCTACACATGCGTAATTTGCAAACTAGATAATTGAAAGAAATTCTACAAAACTATTACTAGTAAACATAATCTAAAAAATACATGCTATCCATTGCTCATTTCCGCCTTAGAATTTTTATAGCATGCAAAACGCAACCGCAAACTCACCCATACTTGAAGCCACGTATCTGTATATTAATTCGTCCTTTTATAGACTGTGCAAGAAGCCTGAAACTTTCAATCATGCAGCTTTCTGCATCTCAGCCCAACATCAAATTGACTTCCTGTAACTCAAAAAACAGTCGATCATTCACTTCTTCAGTACCGACATTCGAATCCGTACTATCAGTTATTACTTGAACTCTCAAACCATCAATCTACCCAATAACTTTACTTTCAAAGTGCATGTTATATTCCACAAAACATATCAACACTACGCATTATCTGCACAACAAGAAAGATGATTTATATGCTGTTCATTAGAAACATTTTACTGTGATTTTTACACAAAACAAGCAGCGTACGACAGAGCAAAGACCCAATGCAGAATGATGTAACTCATTATGCCTAACAAAATATTTTTCAAGTTGTCAAAAAATAAACAATAGAAAACACTCACCATGTGGTAGCAACCCTCGCTCCAACAACAAATCAATTGTACTAATCGCTGTTTTCCGCACCTGAAAAAACTCCAGGTCCTTTCCATACAAATGCTGTTTATCTATAGTGCTATTGCTACATGTCTGATATACGTGTACAGATGTACGACTGATGAGTAGGTCTGATTAATTTTGACAAGATAAAGTTTAATTGTAATTTGGACTGAATTTTAAACAGAACTCGAAAACAATGATAGTTTCCATTCCCTAAATGTAAGCTGTGGTGAATTTTTCTAAAACTGAATGTCATATAGCAATAAACGCCTTCAAACAATAATAAAATAAGAAATATTAATAGGAAAAGTTTATGCAAAAAAAAGCCAAAAACCCTGAAGAGAAAACAACGGATCAAAGATCACGTTGAGCACTCACGTGATGCAGGTGAAAGAGAAATTTCGTTTCGATGCTTATCACCTCACGCCGATTCAACATCAGCTTCAGACAAGCAAACAACACATGGTGCATATAATAGATGACTTTGCAACTCACGTGTCATCACACAAATAAACCTATTTGGTTGAAAGGAAATTCATGCAAAATTAAAAAATTTCTGAAGGAGTGCTTCTTTCCACTGCTGCAAATTCAAGAATACAAGAACCAAGAAAGAGATTATCAAATGATGAATCGCAATACAACGCGGAAATCAAAATTTACACGAAACAGTGATGAAATAGATACCAACAAAAGAAGTGCGCAATCATGGCTAGCGAAATAACTTAATACATGCAAGTGCTGTTAAGTGGAACTTGTACATAAGTCATGGGATGATTTTCGAGAAGATCGACAACTTTTAGAAGAATCAAAATCGACCAAATAAACTACATAAATAATTAAGGAAAGAGCTACTCTTGTCCTATATTTCCCTTCAAAATTAATTAACTCTGCTCACTTTTTTACATCATAATTTATGAGTCATCTGCTATACCCGTTGAAACAAAAAAACTACCACGAAAATTCAAATTTGGAAGGAAAATTATGTCCAAGTGTTGAAGCATATTTATCTTATGCAAACAAGTATAAAAACAGTACTTTGTAGCTCCATTTCAAGAACGTTTTCTGCAACTTAACTCATGCCAGTCATCGAACACTACCGTGCATTTGGAAATACTGATTGGTATTTATACACTTCTACGCACTTAGCATTTTATTTTCTAAAACCTTTTAAGCAATCAGTTTCTGCCTAAACTGTCAATATGGAAAACAGTCCACATCCTTCTGAAAACTACAATACCACATAGTTAAAAGCAAATTGAAATACCTACTGTCTATTAGAGCTTTGACCGCATTATTATTAATTTCATAGCAGTTAACGATTAAGATAACTCTTAATTTTATTGTGCCCATCCACTATTCTTTGATATGCTGACAAACTTTCGCAACGAAAAATTTTGCTTTCGAGTACGTGTGTTAATAACTTAAAGATAAAAGGTTGCTTGACAATATTTTTCTATGCATTCCAGAGAAACCACATAGGATGTGGTAAACTGACAAACATAAATTATAAGATGTTAGCACTGCTGCATATCCCTACCAAAAATTTAAATACGAGTACTAGCGTTTATATCTACACATTAAATACCGCCTAGTTCAACTCCTAGAATTAAAATGGTACGCTGATAGACAAGTTTTAAACAAAAATCTCTGCCTTTACGCTATTTTCGCAAATGTACGATAGAACCATACTTCTAGGCCCAGCAACAGTTTTCTTGTGCCTAGAAGTATGGTGGATGTTAAAAAAATGTAAGCTTTCAAAAAACTTTGCTTTCGAGTAAACATTATTCCTGTGTTGCCTATACCTTCAAATGATTAGCTCATGAACAAAAATGCCCCTAAAACACATAAGTCAACAAATTCATGAATCATTCGGGATGTTAATTTAAATCAAAAACTGGTCCATTGTTAATATCTTCCACTCCTTGGGCAGCATTCATTCGCCACATACTTATTAAGTAGGCAATATTAATGCATTAAGAAAATATCGATAGCAATTGGTCTTTGAAATGTTTAACCGAGAAAGCAGTTAGTTATGAAAGCTTATAAAAAATGGACAGTAACATGTGCTTTCCATATACTAAGGAAGATGAGGAGACTAAAAAAGTAAAGGAATATTCATACATAATCAGTTCGCATTACAAGTAAATAGAAGTGACTGCTTGCGGTTCATAAAAATCTGTAGTCTATGAATTTTTGTTATTGCTCAGTCTTTACCATTTTCCCTGACAGTACGAGGTAGATAATTGAAGAGCAAAAAAGAAAAACAATTGTGGATCATTGCTTTTCTTTCTCACTCCCACTTCTTTCAAGGTCAAAAAAACCTATCACTAATACTAATGCAGCACCAAAGCACATCGTTCTGCTGTTCAGAAAAAAGAAAAAAACCTTTGCAAGGAGCGCAAACACTCACAGACATTTAAAAATAAAGACTTGTGAGTTCCGTACATATTTTCTCTAAAAACATTTGTAAATAACGAGACTTGAAAAGCAAATAAATTCCGTCCCAGTTAGTGAATTCTTAATTAAATTTCTAATTTGAATGAAAAATGAGTGAGTGTAAGGAACATTTTTGCGCATATTTTAGGAAAACACACTATTGTATGATAGAACTGTAAGAAGAATAGTAATAGCTGAAAACAAGTTGCGATAATCACAACTGGCAAAATCGTTCAAAACTGGTCTACTTTTTCAAAGTAGCTTTCTTTTAAATACAGAACCATGACTGCTGGTTACATTTTGGAACAATGAGTAATCATCATGAAAGTTTTCAGCTTTCGAACAACTCAAAAGAAGTACAGAAGAATAGAAATCAGTATCGGAAATACTAACAGTATCATTTCACACGCAAACAAACTCTGGGAAATTAAAATATAAGTTAAAGCTGAAACAAATGACACCTATCATTGTTTGAAAATTACAAAATTTTCTGTTGTTCATTTCGTACCTCACACGTTATTTTTTAGGAGAAATAAAACGAGTATTTGCTGTTAAAAAATATGAAAGTCCAATTGAGAAATAACAATGACCAAAAAAATTTTTGAAAATTATAATGACACGACCAGTTATTGATCTTTCCAAAAAAATGATTCTACTTTACAAAAAATATGAGCAAACTGAAGGTCAAATAAAGAAGCTAAAAGTTTAAAAGTACTTTCATACTTTCATTTTCATACGGATCCACTCAAAATCACTGAAATAGTACTAAAAAATAAAACTACGAAAATAAGCTTACATCATTCCGTTCATGATTCAAAGCATCTGCTAAGTAAAAGGGGAATACTTTCTGCATTCTTTCCAACAGGTAATCCATTGCCATGAGTTCGACATATAAGAACGGGATCTGCTCTACCAGCATACACACAAATCTACTGCCTGCAATCATAGCTGCTTAAATTTCATGGAAGTATAAAAACAGTTATCAAGGTTCTTACAAGACAATCCAATGAACCATTTTCAACACCTTAATATTATAAACTTTCAATAAAAAGAATTCAACACTTAAGCCTTAATTAAACACTACTACAAGTTGCCATATGTTCTGACAAACAAACAAGTTTCTACTTTTTGTACCTTACTTTTTTCCTCTTAAAATCAGTATGGACAATATTTACTACATAAAATCTAAGTATGGAAACTTTTGATAAAAAATTAACAATTGGGTTTCAGCATTCCTAACGAGAAATTTTTGAAACAGATATCAATGTGATAATGTTCTAAATATACTTTGATTTTATTTTCGTGAATATACCTGTTTCTTTAGCAAAGACATTCTCAATCAGTGCAAAAAGGACATCGACCTGACGCTGAGCACTTTGGCCCCTCAACGTTTCAAATACCTTTGATAAATTTAATAATGCTAATTCCCTGCAAAATAGAAATTTAATGAAGAGCACATAAACAAAATGTTGGATAAATGACAGACACACACATAACAACCCCAATTACAGTTTCCTGAAAATAACTAATGTATAATAAATAACAAAAGGTCACTCGGCACTGATTAACATTGCACTGCAATTAAGGAATACAAAAGTACAAATGTGTGGAAATGTGGAGCGGATAAGACGTGAAAGATAATCACTCGGCTTACTGGAAACAAAAGCCGGCGCTTCTTATAGCACCGTAGTGTTACTAACTTTTGAGTGAAAATATGGCGATAATCGATCTAACATTCACTAATAGCTTTCTGAAAGAAATACTTACTTTTCAGATTGAATTTCGCTCTGTGCATACAGTAAAAATGTGTCATAATCAATAACTTTCTCTGGAATTGCTGTCGATTCTGCAAAGCTTGGAATAAAATTTTTATTAAAGAGGTAATTAAACTCTTGTTTGTCCTTAAGAAAAATAAAAGATTAATATGCACAAAACGCAATAGCAGTAACTTCTATCATGTAAAATTGATGTATTCCAAGAACAGTACAATTTTTATTCAACGGCATTTCATACTGACGGGACTTGCTTTTAATACAGCTCAAGCACAAATCAATACAGTAGCAGTTTAGTGAACGCGAAATGGCCATGAAAAAGTATGATGAGCTAAAAGCACATAAGGCAACGTACCTTCATCGTAATTGTCTTTGTCGAAATCTGTAGCCATTTCAGAAAAATGAATAGCTGAAAACAATTAAAATTAAATAATTAGGAGAAATGATACCCTACGCAAAACACCCCTCACCATATCGAATCAAACAATCACTACCAATAAAACTGCTCCCAAAAACCCACCAAGTAAAAAGGAGTATTGTGAAAAAGTAAAACTAAATCCAAATGCATAATATATATAAATACGAAATGACAAAATTCATTATTCAAATTAGATGATAAAAATGCAAAACTTGAAATGACAGAGCCTGAAAACTTACTTGAACCAAAAATATTACCACATCCCGTAATTTTGCATCAGGCAAAAAAATTAAATTAGCTCAACGCTATCTACTGAGTTGATGCCTGGACGATTTTACTTTAACGTGATGCTAACTCACTTCTAGTTACAAATAACATGTCGATCAATATCAGTATATTATAGAGTTGCATTGATCAAACAAATTCATAAATAATTTACAGAAATTAAAAGCAAATAGCTCTAATTTTTCTAAGGAATATTCCTACAGCTTGCGCTGCTTGCCGATATCTAATCTAGTGTATACTTATATGCTATAGAAGTCAAATTACAATAGCACATGCATGGGGAGAGAAGCCTGTGAAATACCATATACAGGATTTGTAAATGAATCCTCTGAAAATATTTGCAAGGATTAGCAATGTTAATAGGACATACTTCTTTCCGTTACTTACAACACTTGCTTCCTACCGTATATCATACATGAAAATATGGTAAAATTCGTGCACACGGAATGCAATATTTGCATGGACTGAGTGAAAATCTCACAAGACGAGGTACTAAATTCATTATGTATAAGTGGGATAGGGCGATTTCGATTAAGCTGGCGTTCTAGCTTAATCTCGCGTTTTACAGGTAATATATACCTCAAACTGCAGTCAGAAAATATTTATGAAATGGAACTATTAACTTGTAAGAGATGGCTTTTTTCTGCAGAATATTCAAATATTGTAGCAAATTTTCTGACGTACTCAGTGATAGGCAAGGAACTTAATATAATGCTCGGATCCCTCATGGCTTCCTTACTGTTTCTGTTGATCAGTGAATGCCACTTATGTGATATTTTCCCTCACTTTGTTATCGCAGCTTTCGAATCAGGAGAAATAGTCAGTTCATACGATGTCAGTCGGACCCGCAAAATCCAGAACGGCGATGGAAATGAAGATAACTGTTCTCCCATCAGAAAATACACACATAAGTATTACAGGGAAGTTTTTGCAAATGGGGTGAGGAAGTTTTTGTTCTCTATGAATCAGTGTGCTTCTTTGACTAAAACTTTTCGCCTAAGAAACAATCTTATGGTGCTTTACAAGATAAACTTTGGAGGAATATGACACACTTAAAAAATCTCTCGATATCGTGTCTTGCGAAAATTCATCGTGTAATAATACCGACAAGTGTGCAGGTGTAAAACTTGCTACCGAAAACCTTTAACTGTTTTACTTATGTGAGGCAAAAACAATTAAAGATGAATACAACAGGATTCATTATAAAATTCCATATATTCAAGATGTTGCAAATCTATGTACACAGTAGAAATTTCTACACAATTGGCTTACAACTCACATTCCATTGGCTTGAATACAATTCCAAATTGCTTTTCCAGTGTGACAAACGAAAAATCCACAAAGAATCAAAATGAATCGCTAAGTACTCTGCCAAACTTCTTGGAAATGCAATTATAGTACAAGTGAAATTGTAATCGCTTGAGTAGAACTGTTAAATAACTGCTATTGCTTTTGCTCTCAAAAAAGAAGCATACATTTTATACGTTAATAATTTAAACTAGAAGTACCACGTGAACATTTCATATGATGAGCTCATACAAGTACAAATTACATCAACAGGACACGAGTATGAATCACTTGCATAAAAAGGATCAAGCACCGACACAAGTTAAACATAATGTCACTGATTGTATAAATTGCGTACATCCTACGATTCTTGTGTTCACAATGTATGCATACTACTTTATTTACATGCATTATATACCTCAAACTTGCCACTGGCCATGCGTTGATGACCCCTCAGACTATTAAACTTTGCAATGGATAGGTTTGCAAAAATAAAGAAAGAGAGTCAAAACTGGAACACTCCAATTTTCGACAACCTTATCTTCTTTGCAGCAAGTTAACAATTTATAACAAATTCAGATCACATGGAACCGCAAAATGCCTTACATTTCCAAACCTAATCTACGAATAAACTGATGACTTTTCCGGTATGACATCTTAATAATAATAATAGATTAATTAATGCAAACATAAAGTCTAAAACTGAGATCAGATCTCTGCGGGGTGACGTTAAAATCAAACTTTTATGTACAGACAACCGGAACCATAGCTGGACTACAAAAATTGACTAAATAGCCTGCAAGCAAAATCACAAATACGAATAAAATACCAATAAGGTTGTTACCAATCCACTGCATTTACTACATAGCAACGGATTACTGCACAATCAATTACTTTTCAATTCACCATCTTAATAAGAGAGACTATTGCGTACGAATATCGTCTTAACTTCGTAAAACAAAAATATATTATGAGGTTCAATAGTTATTCATAGACAGTTTTGCTCACGCCATAGTATAACTCTTCTGTTATTCATACTTTCTCAACAGTTTTCTTAGGCAGCAACACTGCCTGAATATTCGGTAGGACGCCACCTTGTGCAATCGTAACACCTGCAAGCAACTTATTCAATTCCTCATCATTGCGAACGGCCAACTGTAAATGTCTTGGGTTTATGCGAGTTTTCTTATTGTCACGCGCAGCATTTCCTGCCAATTCCAACACTTCTGCAGCCAAATATTCCAAAACAGCTGCAAGATAGACAGGGGCACCTGCACCAACACGTTCTGCGTAGTTGCCTTTCCGAAGCAAACGATGAATTCTTCCAACTGGAAACTGCAGACCTGCACGTGAAGACCGACTTTTTGCTTTACCAGCAGACTTCGCTTTACCACCTTTACCACGTCCTGACATTCAATATCTAAAACAGCGTCACATTTAGTAAGCAAAAGCAAGTGTTACGCACGTTAACACATGCCATTCTTGAATTCTTGAATACGTATTAATGATACAACACGGAGAACCTTACATAGTAAAACCGCTCAAAACATAGAATTACAAGTCACGTCTCACAGAATTTATTGCAGACATAATTTTGCAAGCATAGAGCTACTCGCTCGACACAATAACGCAAAACGTCCAACCAGCATGAGCACTCATTATCGGCAAACTGCAAAGACGATCAATACCAACTCCTGCAAGGACGAACAACGAGAAACTCGTTCACCACCTCCATAACCACACTTCGCATTCATTATCATCTAAGCCAATATAAATTCTGAGAGAGAATAACTGACACCAAACCTCCCCAGTCCAGTGCATTGCAAGATACCAAACGTAGAGTCCTATCTTTTTTTTTGGTTTATATACTCCTGTGCGAGCGCTCTTTATTCTTAAACTCCGCCTATTTCTCTTCACAATAAGGGGCGTGTCTTTAGTGTATGTGAAGCTCATAGAGCGCTATATAAATAGATGTCACTATCCACTCCCAATCATTGGGTTGTTGTTGTGTGGTGTTCTCTGTGTGTCTGTTCATGCAGTGGCTAGGCAGTGTTCGTGGGTGAGATTATGAGGTGGAGAGGAGATGGTTCATGTAGTGAGACGTGAGGTGGGATGCGTGGGAAGATGCATAGTGTTAATCGTTATTTCTTTGCAGTGTTTTACATATTTTGGACGTTACAAACATGCCACCTAAACCGTCGGCTAAAGGGGCTAAAAAAGCTGCAAAATCTCAGAAAGTTCGTGGAGGGGATAAAAAACGGAAGTCACGTCGGAAAGAGTCTTATTCCGCATACATTTATCGTGTGCTGAAACAGGTTCACCCAGACACAGGTAAGATTGATATTTCGATAAATATGGATGTGGTAATATCTTTTAGTCATTTTAGTATTTCGGTTGCTAGCTTATTTGATTGCTGACATGAAGATGGTTGGTTACTTTTAGGTATTTCTTCGAAGGCAATGTCAATCATGAATTCGTTTGTGAACGATGTGTTCGAACGTATTGCTGCTGAGGCAAGTCGTTTGGCACAATACAATAAACGATCTACCATTTCATCACGTGAAATCCAGACTGCAGTGCGCCTGATTCTTCCAGGTGAATTGGCAAAACATGCTGTTTCTGAAGGGACGAAGGCTGTTACGAAATATACAAGTTCCAAGTGAATTGTATATAGTGGAAGATGAGTATTTCTTGTGGTATTGGGTATCTCTGAGTTGATCTCAACACGTATTGCTGCATGTTGTAGTGTAGGATAGGTATAAAATGATTTACTAAACTGCAGTTGTGTTATAACATAGTGATTTTTTTCTGTGCATAATGCTAAGACTACTTGCAAAACTTAGAATCAGACCACGGATATTTCCTAGTTTGCTGATATACATCATTTTCATTCCGGTTTGTTGCCACACTCATCTCTCACTTTCGGTGTCAAGAAACTGTTTGATTTGTTGTGTTCATTTATATATTAATCGTTTTTGCTGCATCTGATAAAAATATCGTTGCTTCCCTTTCGCAGTGTTCGTGTTCAGATTGAAGGATTGCTGGTCATTATGCAGTATAGGTGGAGCAAGAGTTACTGTTAGGAGTTCTGTCATTTTAAGATGAGAAGAGGTATGTTGTACAGGAGCTCAGAATATGAATGTGTAGTTCGCGGATATTATATATGACATGGTAACAACGCATATCTTCAATGTTTGGATATTGTATACATGGGTTTCGGTGGTATTTAGGGAAGTTAATTTTCAGGCCATTAGATTTGACCTGAAATGGTGGGGATGAGGATTGGATAGGGCATTACCAGTAAGGTGGCATGTGCATTTATGCATTAATTTACTGCGGCTTACGCTGCTTATTTCAGTGGTACTGTAATTTGCTAGTGTATATTGTGGCACAATCAGAACCCCATATCTCGTGTGTGTATAGTTTAGTTTAATTCCAGTATGTCAGTTCTTGTTAGAGAAAAGCAAAAATGTGGAATGAAATATTCGGCTACCATGTGTTAGGGAGATAGGTGGCAAAAGCATAAGTAACGGTAAGTTGCACCATTGCAAAAAATAATTTGCGTAGTATTGCTCCATCATTCCTAGTAAGTGCTGATAGACTGCATAGTGTTGATAATACGCACTCTCGTTCAGAACTCATCCAAATTTTCACCATCGCGAATGTGATTCAGTCTTCAACTCCTCGGTAGCTACCATTTTGACAGTACAAAACTTTACGATCCAATGCAGTGAAGTATTGTAAGCTGGGTGAGGATATTCCCGTTGTTTTTGATCTCAAGCACACATACTTTAAAAGCACTTTATTTCCGGTCTAGTCGTATGCTTCAGTCAAGAAAAAGAAGTCCAATGAAGTATGCGGTGAAGTACTTCAAAAAAACGTGCAATAATAGAATCTAGAACTCCATCGGGTGTGCTGATTCAGCTGTTCTACAACGAAGGTAAATTGTCACCTTGAACAACATTAATTATTCGCAGGAAGCTGACTTATGTGCTTAAAAAGCACATAATGTCACAAGTAAAAGTTCCAAACATGCTCGATCTTGTCCCTCTTCTCTCACCACATAACTGTTAATGCATTTTTCGTTTTCAAGTTTCATGCTAAAAAATATTAGTTCGACAAAAAAGTTTATCGTATCCTCAGTACTTGCTGATATATACAATTTTTCGAAATGAACTGCACACAAATAGCTTAAAAAAATGGATTAAATTGTGGCCAAATAATAAATAAAATAAGGCGTACTTAAGTTCAAGAGGCCGTATGAAAAAGTTTGTAAATTATCGTATTCTGTTAATTTTCCTTTCCCTTCTTTTGGATTCCGCAAAAGAAAATGGTTGCATAGAGAACCGTACAAGCCATCAAGCTAGAATCTTAGTGAATGAATCTATTTGAATGAAATTCGACTCATTTCCGGGTGGTCAATATCAAAGCCTTGTAATCGGTGTGTCATACTGATGAAGCCTGCTTTATGTTGTAAGCAGTTCAATGTAAAGGGAGTTCGTTGACTCCAAGATCCATGGGATCACCGCATTCCCGTTTAAGCGAAATCTTTCAGTGCACTTTAAGTAGCGACCAAGTGTGATGTTACTAAGCACTATATAATATGCTATTTGAGGCAAACGAGTAATAAGCAAGTGGTCTAGTATGTTGGAAAATGTTTCAAAAAACATAGGGTTAGAACTGAAAAATTAAAGTTTTAGTTCTAATGACAGCTTTTGATGATATAGTTTTTAGCTTCTTTTGTCATAATCTACAATTTTTCTTATATTGTCACTCGACTGCTTGTATTTACTATTCGTGAACATTTTTCAAAATCCAATTTCTTGTCATAAGGAAGAACAGAGTTCGTATCAAAATTGAAGCTAGCTTATGATTAAGATGGGAACAGAGTTATGGAATTGGATTCAAAAGGATTCGAGGCCTGATTACTTTATGAATTTCATCCTTGATCGATAAAAAGAGCTACAGGTCTGCAGAACTGTATCGAAGGTTTCCGTCTTCGGCGGAATTAAGTGAATTTGAAAGTTTGTAGAAACAAGATTTAAATGATTTATTTGGTTGGAGACAATTTTCTTAGATTTTGTCTCTGTTTGGTAACGTTTTGTACTGAAATCTAAGCGCTTTACATGGTCCTAAACCCATCTTGATTGTGAACTTATCTATCTCAAGATGAATAAGGAATTAGAAAATTCAGTGGTATGAAGCTCACAGAAGATATTATTATGATCTGGATAAATGCATCTTTCCACTACAGTAATGGCAAATTTTTCGGTGCCGGACTTATATTATAAAAAAGAAAATGAAAGCGAGGCTCGAAATGAATATTCATTGCTAACAAAGGATGATGTTTCATTTCTAATAACATCAAAAAATATTCTTAGCCGAGAATCTGTTTTCACACAAAATCAGGGCAATTGAGTGCAGTAATGAAGTCTATCAGTTGAATAGATAATTTAGTCTTGTCTTCAACACCAGTCTTTCCAGTAAAGAAAAACTGGTTGATTATGTCTTCAATGAAATCATCAAAAAACTGCCGAGATTTACTGAATGTTCAGAAGTGGTAACTTATGCATACTTTTACAGATTAATTCGACAACTTGTAGCATACTTTTGTTTAACATTCATATTACTGAATCACGAGAACGCTCTATCAGTGCACATAGAAGAGCAGTACTACGGGGTATGAGAAGCAACACAACAAATTCTGAAATTCAATATGTAGGAGCCTTTCTGACTCAAAGTTTTTAAAGAATCATAACAGCGCATAATTAGCAACTCACATAAAACGTCTCATGTATGACTGATTGAAGGAAACACGATAATGCATTCAGTTGCTTCAACTAATAACAAACATTTTAAAGCGACCTTGCATACTACATCAACCGATCGATAGACAATCCTCGAGATTTATTTCCAGAAAGTTGGCCATATTTTGGAGGAATCAACAGAGTAATGATAATTCATTGCGCGGAAATTTGCCGAACTCTAGCTGTTTCATCATAAGTAATAATTAGAATAAGTTCAAGATTAACAAGTATTAGTTTGGTTTGTCAAACTTTCAAGCCATAAAAGGACGTTACATGCCAAATGATGCAAACTACTTTCAGCCATCAATAAATCGATTACAAGAAGTCCAAAATTTGTCAGAAGTATAAGCAGACTGCCTGAGGTGTTAACCGAGGGGCTCAATGTGGTGTCAGAAACTCTGTATTCTGACAATGACAAATATCTGACTGGTGGTTTACTTTCCACAAATTTCAGTTGTATCAAGGGAATTGCCTGTTACTGAGAAAACAACAGGATAATGGTAACTGAGCATCTACCTAACGTTCAAGAGAAATCTTCAAGAGTTAATTCCTTCTTTCTCGAGATCTTTTTCTCAACTTGTTAATTAATCTACTGCAAATGTCATCAAAGTCAAAAATTATTTTGGTTGGCAATAATATTATTTAATAATTAAAACAAATAATTACAATTCATAATGGACAGTAAGTGTCCATGAAAGATGATTAAGGGAAACAGTAGAGATAGCAACGATTCAGTTGATACACTGAAAATGATAACATTGTTAGTAGAAATTGTTTGGAAGAGATGGAACAAACGCTGAATTTGCTAGTCACGACAGTGCTCCCACGTAAGTCGGTTGACTCGCTAGGTTAACAAGATAATAACTACGTTGTGTGTATGTGTGTGTACGTAAATATACCGCAATTAACCATCGAATCAACCAATTCGTTAATCATTCGATCGATCGATCTATCTATCTATCTGCCTACTTACTTATTCGTCAGTCTAGGCAACCATCTATCAAACTATCCCTAAGTGTCTAACCGAGAGCCCTGCTATCAGTCTGTGGCGCTATAGTTCATGTCGAGAAATACTTGAAACTGATTCCACTGCAGAAAAATTGCTGAGAATTGACTGCAAGTAGATGCGTGCACGCGGAGAAATAGCATTAGCTACAGGGGGCCAGACGAGTGAAGGAAAGTCTCGATGGTTGCAGCAGCAATGGGCCTTGAAGTGAGGAGCATATCGATTTTCCCACGGATGCATGCACCGGTGGGGCAGGGGCAGGCACCGGTACAGCTCTCTCTACCCGCCTGTCTCTGCCGTACTCTCGATGATGGCCTTGTCGAGATGTATCGGGGTGGCCTCCCGCCCTCCCTCGATGCAACTCTATTCTTCATTCCCTCTGCCCTGCTCTATCCCTCAGTCATTCCCTGCTTTGCTCCTATAGCCTATCGTCTTATTTCGCCACCTCAGATTTTCTTCCAGCCACACGTACCTCACGTGTCCTTTAGCACCTTTCAGGTTCGTTTCCGTGTGATAATCAGTTTGTGCTCTTTTTGGGTACTCAGTACCAGCACACTCCGTATTTCATCTGTTTTCAACACCTTCACCTTGTTCACGACCAGTGAGTTATTCACGCACTTCATCCGATCGTGGGCAGTGCTTCTCGCGCTCATAACTTACTTAACTTTTAATCAGCATAACGTGAATTATTTATTCACGGCAGTGATGCGATTTTATAATTAAAAGATGCAGTTGACAATACTGCAGAGAAATAAGTAGTGCCTGCTGTGGATTGAGTTGTATTTGAGGGAAACTTATCATTCCATTCGAATCATCACTCTCTTCGCATTTGGAAAAGGCGCAAATTTATATCATTCCGATTATCCTTATTCTATATTGCATTTAAGAAATATTGATTCGCTCAATAATGTTGCAGATGGTATCAGATTCATATTATCGAAGCCTTATTGATGCTGTACGCCAGTTGCCAGTACTTTATGATCGCTCTCATCCTGATTTCCGTAACGTGAGGAAACGAAATGAGGCTTGGAAATTTGTAAGTGAGACGTTGTTCAAGCGTGGTTTTTCGCCTAATGAAGGTGAGTTATATGTTTATAGGCACTTCGTAATTTTTTGTGAGATCTCTATTATGTCAGAAAACGCATTTAATAATATATTGGTTTGGAATTCGATTCTCAAATATCCTGAAATATCTACCAACACACCTCATATAAAGGGCGTCAAATTCCTTTGCTGAAATTTTCTGCATCACATTCCGTATTGCTTTGCAGTAACTTTTTTCAGACTAAGAGTTTTCACTTTAGTCTGTGTGTGCTACTGCAAAATGCTTCCTCAATTATGTTTTTCTTTTACTGCTTTCTTGAATTGTTTGCTGTTCTTTTATTATGATGCTTTTCCAATGTGAAAAGCACCATTAAAAAAAAGTATGACGTTTTTTTTCTCTTTTAAACCATTTTATTAACTATGCGTCCAATATTCAGTCAAATAATTTTTATTTGGAGTTTATTTAGTGTCGGTGACAAAGTCGCGGGATCGGTGGAAAAGTCTTGTGCAGCGCTACCGAACATCAGGACAGTTCGGCCCCGCATTTATGTTTACCGCAGAAATGCAGTTTCTCGATGAATTTATTAATGCTGTGCCCACACAACCGTTAGTTTTAATTTTCAAATGGGAAGTTAAAGCTTATTTTGATTAACTTTTGTCATTAACTTTAGGTAAGTTGATGCTGTTAGTTTTGCAAGTCGGCGACGTCATATGCTTACTGAATTTGAGACATAGGTTTTCATAATGGGTTTCACTTATCTCGTCACTAATCACCCAGAGAAAATCATTCGTGAAATAGTCTGTCTATCCTGCGTTAAATTAGTTGGTGGTATAGTTTGCTACAGGATCCATAAATTTGAGTGCTATACAACACTTCGTTTCTCCTTTAATGAGTGAGCATTTATAGAAATAGAAATGTGTAACTGAAAGAAAGTTGGAGTTGATCAGGTGCATCTGATCAACTCCAACTTTCAGTCAACAAAGCAAATAAATTAAAGATTCAAGTTTTTTATTTCAGAGCAGAAGTAACGGCTAGCACATTGCTGGGAAACATAAAAAAAGAAGATAATAACGAGTGGGAGTTTTCTTCCTTGTTTGGTAATACAAACCAAGTTGATGGTAATATGTCATTATTTGGAAATATGGATTCACCTGCTGGTTCTTCATCTCCTTATACCCAGCAAGGTGACGCAAATCAGGTAGATGGTGGCGTGAATGAAGATGGATTAATGTTGAATGGCAGTTCCAATTTTTCTACCAGCAGCGGTAATGGTATCTCTTCAGCACACTGTGTCCCTATATCGATTTCTTCATTATCTGTCAAAGGTATTTCATTAGTAACTTATTACTTTGCACAGTTTTTGAATATCTCATAAATACTTTATCGAGTTGTGACTTGTAAATGGTACTGGGAAATTCTATCATTCTTTTGATCACTTTTAGATCTCATGGCACGTAAGCGACCCCGCCATAATGTGTCTGATTGCTCTACTGCGTTAGAGAAGAAAATCGCAAGTAGTTTGGAAGCAATTCAAGAATTCATTAGCAGTGCGTTTCAGAAGCAAAAAGAGCAAGAATCGGAAAAGGAACGAAGTCCGAATGCCTCTCTCTTTCAGTGTATCGATCATCTTACTGCAGATATGTCTCCCAAAGAACATCAGGAAGCATTACGAGAAATAAAGCGATCGTGTGTAAGTATTTGCGCCAGGATTATGTCAGAATCGCAACCGTAGCCGTTGCATATATATTCATAGGAAGCACTATTGTAGCATAATTTACATGGACATGAGGTTTAGAGTTTTGATGTGCCTAATGCTGTCGAGCTGTATATTTCGTGTAAGAAGGTTCTAATTCAGCTTTAAGGAAATTAACGGCATAAAAATTTAGAACTTGTTTCGTTTTGTAACTTGTAATAAAACTGGGAATATTAAACTATGTGTCATTAATTAGACTATAGTTTGATTATTTGTAATCATAAGGTGCAGTGGTACTTTTTGTGTAATCTTACGTTATAAAGTTTATGATCTCTTTGAGTAGTAAAGTAAAAATTGGGATATTTGTAGTAACAGATAAACGTAACTCTGAAATAAAAAACAAAATTCCTTATGAGCAGTATATGGAACAATTCAGTAAACGCTTAAACACGTGGACACACCATGGTTTTGTCAGAAATTGTAATCTACATGCTTCCTTGACTACTTTTAAATTGTTGAAAATTTTTAGAACTAATGAAAAGCACGTATTTCATATTTTATGGCATTTATGGGTACCACTACCATATTTATACATTGCTATACTTTTTAACATTCAACTGACTACATGAACTCACACATCTCTTCATCAAATTCATGTATTCTTGAAGTACGTTATATTGTTGCGGTAATCTATTGCATTTAAGCTCATACGCGTGTCACACTGTTATGACTCTACAGGTGTAATCAAGTTTATTTAAACATTAATGTATTGCCTACTTTGATGTAGAAATATGATAAGTATTCAATCCTATACTTAAGAATATTTCGTTGCTCAATATAAATTTTGTGATCATTAGACAGTATACTATTAATTATTCCGTACCACATAATAGATTTAAAAGTGTAAGGAGTGCTGTGTGAATCGTGTTCATCAGTTTGTGAAGTACAATGAGTTACGTGGGATTGCACCTTCTGAAATTTTGAAACTTTTTGAAACTCGCTTCCCATATTTGAGGGCAGCTAGCTTTCATATTATTCTTCGTGTGATTATAACAGGGACAGTAGAATGGCCATAACCTTACGAAGGGGGAAATACTAAAGTCCGAACAAGTGTAGCACTGCTCTCAAGGTCCATAGTAGAAAGTTTTTCGTGCAACACAATGAATTAAATATTGTCGGCTAAAAATATTGCCATCGAGAAAGTTTTTTTATTACAAGAATTAGCTCTTGTGTGATTACCAGATGGATCTTGCCAGTATTAAGCTCGCTAACTGGAATCATGGGACAGTACGAGATCGACATATAGAAAAACAGGCAAACAAGTAAAGCTTTAAAATGGATAAAGAAGCATTCAACGGAATGAAGTAGTTAACTACAGACCGCCGTACTAAACATACTTTGTAAATAGAAAGAGTTGAAAAATAAAAGTAAGGAGGTGGAACGATAGATCTCCCGTCCGGTAAAAAAACTATTTCTTGAAAAAATGAATTAGTGAGAGAGGTATTTCTTAGCACGGTTATTTAGTAAACTCATAACTGCATAAGCTTCCGGGATAGGACAAGTGTTAGGATTTTGCTGCCGTAGCACTTGCTCAACTTGAAATGCAAGCAGAGCTAACTGGTCGCTTTTGCTATATCCAGTAAAAGAATTGTTTGATGTGTCCACTGGCTAAAAATCACTTAGAAATTTTTTGATTTTTACTTTTGGTTGCTTGAAGACAGTTTACTTTTCGACAAATAATTTTTAGGCTTACTGGAGGTGATAAGGCAATAGCATCAAGCAGATCAGCCATCAAACGAACAGTAGATGGACTTCTTTCCTGAAATATCTCAAATATGTGGAAAAACCCTTTATTTATAATAAAATTACAATTTCATGAGCACATAATCGTTACTAGACTGTTTACAAAAATACTGACAAAAGAAAGTGAGCTAATTCCATACCTGACAATAATTTAGTGAACTTGCTTGATTAGCTAATGACTGGATTGTTTTTGGTAAATGACGAGACTTTTTATCTAAAAATGTGCTTCACAGATTTTAAAGTTGACTCCATAAAAGGGAATAAGAATGTGACAAATGCTTACCAGAACCATTTTTCCCAAGTGTCAATATAGGGTTTACAAAACGTAAAATGAAGAAGACGCTGAAAAAAAATAAAGCATTTAGGTAAATTATTATATACGCCTCATGAATATCATGAACCAAAAAAGATTCAACTTAAAATCGTGCCCATATATATAATCGTAGTTTCTTCGATATTTCACAATTCAACTCCAAACAAAGCTGAATAAAGAGTTTTCTAGTCAAAAAAAAAAAAGATTCTTTAACAATACTCTTCAAGTTCCAAACCAAAATCTGATAGAATCTTGAGTAAACTATATCTTTAAAAATGCTTTCGCACTAAATAAATGCTACCTAGCAACTCGACGAGCAATTCTCTCAGAATCATCAAAGTGTGCTCTGACTACTTTTATGCTCTGTGACAAAACTGCACGAAAAAGAAGAGGCAGGTGCTCTGATAAACTTTTCAAGGCATTTATAATTTTCGAATCTTCTTTTACTGAAACTTCGTTTTGCAAGTTTGCCAGCTGTTCTTCTACAAAATCTTTGCCAGTCATTCGCAAAGCTGTTGAAATGCAACAAGTGCAGAATGAATCGCATCGAAAAAGTGTTGCTTCTAAAAATTATGTTAGATATAGCACCAAAAACTGAAGTTCATATGAGCCGTTTTTTCGGGTGCTTACTCAAGAGATGAGATTTCAACAAAGCTGAGATAATGAAAGCATTTTTTATACATGTCAAATAGTCAGTTTCAATTTTTTTCGAATCAGGTGATGCATAAATTATACTAATCACTGCTAGTTACACTTCCCAAATTTCACATTAATATAACAAAAAAAACTACACCGGTTTCATGCTGAACTTGTTCTTTGACAATGACTCCAATGAAAGACATCATAAGATCGTAATTAGGGAGAAGAACTGAGAGTAATAAATGAACAAAATATTTCCGATTGAAAACATCCAGAAGTGAACCAATCCATGTGGAAAAAAGGAAGGATCGAGCAGTAAGTAACATAAAAAACGATGCATACTGCTCTTCTGGGAGTAAAGCAATACGATGTCGTACTACACGAAATATGAATCCTTCAAAGTTATCTTCTACATTCACACACAATTCTTTGCTATCATCTGCCAACACATAAAGTGGCGAATTGTCTGAAATAAAAGAAAAAAAATGATTTCACTCAACACAGACATTTTGATTTTTATCTACTATTCTTTAAGTTCCTGAGAATTTGCCACAACACATGAAAAAATTATGCAAAATATAAGCGGCAAAGTAACTTCCGTTTTGAAATCAGAAATAACTAAAATGAAGCAGGTATTCTACAATATTTAACACTAAAATACTGACTTTTCTGATCTAGATCCTTTAGAAACTTTAATGACAATTTACAGTCTACCTTTGTATACATAATCTTGACCAGCATCTGCACGACTCTTGGTCATAAGTTGATTAAATGAACAAAGATAAAAGCTCAATGAACATGCCCCAGGAGGAATGTATCTACAACAAAAATTTTCAATAAAAAGCCGTTTATCAAATTTAGTTTTATTTAAAGCTGTTTAAATTAAATTCCCAGTTGATACACCAACTCTCTCGAAAATCTACTGAAAAATAATAATTGAAAACAGCGTAAATCTCTTCCAGTTAAGTGTTCAATTTTTTTTAATTTTAAATCATTTCTATGAATTTAGGAATCTTACTGCAGTAGGAAGCATCTATTAAACAAAATGGTATTTTTAACAGGCATCATTTGCTGAGTTCTTATTAAAACAAGACCATTGATCACTACTGCAGCATCGTATAAGCAATCAGATTTTAGATGATTGCTTCTGAAATATGTTCTATAATTAAAATTTTTTCTGTAATTTTAATTTTACATACTGAACAATGAGACACCAATATGACCAGTATGAGTCTTCACAGAATTCATGCTCTAATTCAGAATTCTTGAGCCAAACTACTTTATGAAACTGCTTTGAAAAAATGAAAACAAATCATCAGATTTGAATTAACTGCTATTTTATAATACTAATTGGATTTTTCACATTAGAACATGAACTGATAGAAGCACATAGCTTCCACGGAAGCTTGCTATTTGAGATTAAGATTTAAAAGATATATAAAATTTCCAGAAAAGGAATTATTTTTTTACATCCTTACCTAAAACTTGTCAAGGTTAAATGAATAACACTTGTAGAGCGAAGAAAATAATCCTGTATGAAAGGCATTAAAGCGAATGGATATGGTGAGTGTCGGCAACCAAAACATCGTAGTCGCAAAGCATAAAACCACTTTAAATGAATGCCCTCATTTTCGAATGACAAACATACTGATGGATAAACATCCAGACGATTTAGAGCAACCAGCAAACAATTGTTTCGACCAAATGATTCATCCGGAATCTTATAAACAAAGCAAAAATTGAGATCCAAAATCAATTTTGGCTTTGTTTTCTGCAAGTCAATATCATAAATTACATCAAAAATTTCTTGGTTATAAACTATATATCTTCATTTTCTCAATATACAGAAGTATGTGAAGAATCAGGAGAAATTTTACCTTATCATGGCATGAAATATACAACTGGGAACCAGTCGAGTCATTCAGTATCGCACAGCAGCTTTTCCACTTATCTTTTTTACCTAAAATTAAATTTTTCAACAAAAATTTGAAGAAACGTCAAAAACTGCTTAGTGACACAGACATTACCACTTTTTATTTTTTATCAATCGATAAAGTCAAAATGCGCAACACAACAAACACATGAAGTTAAAACTTGATACACAATCAGAATTTTGGAACTTGTAATGGAAAACATTAATATTAATCAAAGAAATGCTGTCATTGTCTTAGCCACAAAGCTCTGAATTTTAACACAAACTATATTTTTATTAAGACGTCAAAAAGAATAATTGCAGTGCAAGCTAAATTGAAAATTGACAATCCAACAAAATAATTATTATTTTTCTTATGAAAAGTCGCTGTGTTGATCAATTCGAAGCAATTCTTACATCGTCGATATGCATTTGCTTCTAAAACTGTCTTCGTACAAACATTAGCACCATTAAGACAATGGAATGTATTATCCACTTTTTTCCCTATGTTCTTTTCATTTGTATTTGTAAGTATTGCCCTCATAAGAGAAAATCCCTCACAGATTTCTTCTCCTGTATACCTGCAAATATCTTGAAATTGTCTTGAATTTGCTTCAAAACCTTTGACTGACTTTTACTTTTTAGATTTAAAAAACAGTCCAATTATTTTTGTGTTAAAACTCAGATTATTATGGAGAAGATGATGACAACAATTTTTCAATAAATATTGTTAAGTACTGTTTTTCAGCACAAACTCCAACATATTCTACAGTAACTGATCCATTTTTTCATTTCAACAAATACAAAAGTGATATATTACAGAAATTTGAGCAAAGGTGTAACATCACAAAATCTCTGAGATAAGATGATGCTGTATTTTAAAATTTTCAACGCTTCGAGATCAAAAAAAAAAAATCTGAAGGAATTACGAGCATTTTGAAGTAATTTTTGAAGATAATAGTACCAAAACTGTTTGTGAACAACACTGATATAAATTTAGAATCTACTCTTACTTTTCAATAATATCCGGAATTGTTGAAAAAACTCGATCTTCAATTTCGAAATTACCTTCTCGTGTTTGTTCTATTTGAAATTTCCTTATGTGTGCACCGGTATTCACCATAAGCGTATACGAATTAAAATATGCAGTCGAACGTCGTTGAAGGTAGCAACCACTTCCAACTAAGTTATAAACTCATAAGTTAGTTCATTCGGTAACATATCGAAAAAGTTTCTGCTTTAATTACTTACCTTACATAATAAAGTTCCTAAAATTTGTACAAAATGACGACACGAAAAAAAGTGCCCTTTAAGATTACGAGATTCAAGATAGATCTTTAGTTGTAAAACATGGAAATACCGTCTTAATACCTAGCAAATATCATTTTATATATTTAAATAAAGATTAAATAATAAAATCTTAAAAAAATACAGTGAGTAAGCTGTTTCATAAGCACATTAACTGGTTCATCATGAAAATAGGGTAACTCTTCAGCTTTCATATTCTTATCACTCTGCAACTGTATGTTAATGAGACCGAACTTACATTTCACTACTCACAAGAAAAATTTATTAGGCTTAATTAATAGCACAATTCTTCATCCACAACTACGAATATTTTACATTTCTAACTATACTAGAGATTCTAGGACGAAAACACAAATGGAGTGAATCTCAAAGCAAACTTTTCCTAATTATCGGCAACTAAATAACTAACTAATGGAATAGTAAGCTGTACAGCAACAAGTCCGGACTTTCCATTTTTTTGTAGTCTTGCCCAGAGCCAATCGCTATCCACTCGTTGAATTTCCGTTAACAAGTCACCCTCACAAAAACTATAACGGAATGAGCACTGTAACTGATTCAAGTTTATGATTACGCAAAAAAAAGAATGTGGAACCTAGATAAAGGTAAAAGCTAATTCTAAAATACTGAAAGAGTATGGCAAAATGCAACTTTGCTGAAGTTTTAAATGAAAGTAATATTTTTCAACCAAATTCTTGGGATTCTACTTTACAATATGTTTGCAAAGAACTGTCGAGTGTGAAGAAAAAACCCAATGAAATTAAAATTTAAATCACCTTATTTCATCCGTATTAAGCATACCATAAAATGGAAGTATGACTATCCTCTGACGATTTAATAACTTTATAGGCTGAAAGAAATGGTAGGTCAATATCAAGTTTTTAGAATTGGGACTTGACTCCATGTGAAGTGCTGAGATTAACCATCAATTTCCAAAGTATAATTCAAAAGTCACATACTGAAGGTGGTTGCAACTGTAGCACTCTTGTCTGTGATTCCGTAATAAATGTTTGGATGAGATCATATATAGTAGTGAATGGTTTTCCAAACAAGAAGTATTCTCCGCAAACTCGAGTAATGCTAAAAATATCGAATTAACAAAAATTTTCTGTGAGAAATCAAAACAAATAGTATATTTAACAGGCTTTGCGCTCATAACCAAACGAAAATGCACAAAGCACTGATATAGAGAAAATTCTGAATGAGGCAAACAGAACAACATGAGACACGCAGAAAATTTTTTTGCTCAAGAAAGTTTTAGAAGCAAAAATTTTTCCAATAACATATACTCAAATTATTTCGACCAAAGTTTTATTTAAATTAGTACCGATGAGGAAACACACATTTTTATAGCTCAGTAACACTTGACATCTTCAGAAGAATATTCTTCATGTAATAAAATTAAAGTTTGATGACAAACAAGAATTATATTATACGTTTTACAATGATACAATTTCTCAAAAGTGCAAGAAGTTCCGTTAACTTTTTTCAGTTAAATTAACTACATATACAATTATACATAGGCAATTGTAACAGAAAATCAAAATTTGCTTTGTGGTTCACAGAAGGTTTCGATACACTAATTTGTTAAAGAGATCTAACCCTCTTCCAACATTAGTAAAGCAGAGTATGTCATGGAACACCAATAGTTGCTTCAAGTTCTGTACTTATTTTAAGCCCAAATATTTTTATGAATGTAAAACTTTCCTTTATCGCACCTAACAAAATGATAACTTACGGAAAATGTATAACTGAATGACTGGATGGCGACAGCCAAGAAAGGCGAAAATTTGGTGGAAATAAAGGTTGATCAGCTCGCAAAATCAGTGCCCCACTGAAATCGCATTTTCGCAAGCGGTTCTCTGCTTCTGTTGGTGTAATAAAACCATGAACACATCCCGCAGAATCTAATAATACTGTGGGTATTTGTTCTATTTTCGGTACCTGATGCAATGATGAACTTTGGTTACGACCTTCATTTTCCAATCCATACTTTTCTTCCGTACCATTGACATTAACTCCATTCATCAGTCCATCTAAATTTATCTAGATCCAGGGTGAAATTGCCTTTAAAATCAATAAAAAACGAAAGAGTAAAGCAGTTTAAAATCTTCGGCAAAAATTTACTCCAACTGCAGTGAAATTGAGAAAGCTCAAACACAAATCAAAAATTTCCGACTCAGAAAAACAACAAGACTAAAACCACTCTTTACATTTTTAAAAAAACTCCTAAATTCAAAAATTAAGCCAAAATTTTGAAGAAAAAGAAATAAAGCTAAGATGTCAGTACTGATGTAAAAAGAATTGTACGTGTGTTACACGAAACAGAAAAGAACGGAAACACAATAATAGGAGTAGGTTCTTCGGAGAAACTACATTACATGACGTTTTTTTAAATTCTGTAATGATGGAAAGAATAAAGTTAAAAGTCACAGGTGCAGAAAATGGAAATGCCTTCCGGTTCTGTGGCATAAATTGCTAGAAAAGAGCAGCAAAAGTTTTCAAACAATTTGAGAAGACAATCAATGCCATCAAAATGCTTCAATTTATTTGCATTCTCACAGAGACGAAACCCTCTAAGCATTCTCTCAGCACTGCAAAATATGAAAAGTGAAGTAAAGATGGCTGCTTTGCATATCAATGAATTCTAATGCAGCGAGTTCAACTTTTTCCCTTTTCTTCAGAGTGCTGCCATGCAAGCACTTTCAGTTCAAATTTTCAGCACCACCGCTGCGTTTTGAGATTCTTAAATGGGAAACTACAGCACGAATACTGGCATCTATGAAATTTCTACTGTCAAGAAATGTTATGGAGCTAGTCTGCAAATAAGAGCCGGCATAAATGAACGTGTCCGACTACAAACCTGAAAATGATTGCGACTTGGCTTAATAAACAGCTACATTGCAAGCGGAAGTAAGAATAATAAATGATTATTTCTATGAAATAATAAAATAGTCGGTAACGAATAATAAGAAACAGAAATCATCAAAAATACAAATGCTTCAGTAAGGAAGACAAGAACAGAAACTCTTCTCACAAGAGTTCTGGAACTTTATTTCCATCTATAAAATGGAAGGATGATCTTAACACTAATCGCACATGGTTGGACTGCAAGATAGCTACTGTTTTCTTTAATGTAAGTTAAATATCACACTGGCAGTAAAATTGATCATTGTGAAGTGAAAGAGCTGTAATGAATAAAAACTGCTGTAAGTAAAAGGTTTCTAGCTGGTGCCTCTCTGACATTTACCCATGACAATGAACCAATCGTCCAACTGTATTACACGTAATATAAATTAGATGAGCGGACGAATAATATAGGAGAGTAAAAACATAACTGGACTTTGTCTTTCTTAAAGACAAACTAAAATTAGAATTGCATCTTCAGACTTTCACACCTTAAAAATCGAAATCTTCACTTCCAGGAAATCGCGGGAGACTACTTAATATCAGCAGGAAAGATAAAAGATACACAGATGGATACAATTAAATCTTCGTAAACAGCTTGTAAGAATAAAGTGACACAGCGACACAACAATGGCGAATTGCTCCGAACGGGTTTTTCGCGGCGGAAGTCACATTACAACATTTAATTGCCCGCCTTGAATTCCGCGGAATGTCTATGTTTAAAATGCGCTACACATCGTTTCATTAAAAAAAATTGCGACGTCATTATGAGAAAAATGTGAAGCACTAGAAATTTTATTTAAATAAAATTTGAAGCACTAGAAATTTTATTTATTTATAATAAATTTTATTTAAAATAAAATTTCTAGTGCTTCACATTCTGCACAAAATAAACATGAAGGACGGCATTTATATATTCATGTCTGGAGGGGTATTTGTAGACTTACGTACAATTTGTTTTAAATAAAAGCATTACAATTATCGTCATGGATGAGAAGCTGCGCATTGGCGAAGGTTGCAGATCAGCTGTGAAGTGGAATGCTTTAGCATGTGGGAAACTATTCAAAAAAAACTATTAACTTTCATTAATTAAAACTTGATGACGTTGCACTCAGGCATTGACCACAAAAAAGTTGAGTAGAATCTGATTATCTTCAAAAATATTTTAAAATTCTCTCCATCCTGTTTGTGACAGAAAGGAATAAGCAAATTTCAACTTGTCATTATCAATTTACAATACAAATTAATGATTTGCATATTTCGGCAAAGAAAGATGTCTACAGATGTAAAGGAATTCTTTAAATAAAGGAATGAATATCAAAGGATTTAATGTGACAATATCAAAAAATTTGTGGCTTATTAATTTTCTTCAATATTATAGCTACATCAAATTCTAATAATGAATAAATGCAAAAGTTAATATTTTTGATTGAAGTAATTATAATTACGATTACAGTGATAACCAGCAATGCTAATAATAGTAACGGAAGAATATTTTGTCAATGGCCATTCTCAAATGACCGATAATATTAACGTTGATAATGACATTTGTAATAAGAAACCACGAGAGAGATGATGCAGATGGTTAGTAACGAGTAGTATGTCGATGCGCAAAAAACGATGGTCTTCTGTCTGTCTGCACGTTTATTTCTTACCGTATAACAACTGAAACGCTAATAAACTGTTCCTGCAAAGTTCTTAAATTCTTTGCAGAAGTTCAACGAAGCAAGTATAAATTATAAGTGTGTGATACATGTACTGCCTTACTTCACTGAGAGTCATTACTAAGTTATTATAGTTTACCTAATAATTTCATGCATTTGCACTTCCCGTTCTTAGTAATGGCGTATTTGACAGCCAATGTGCAACACTAAACGTAAACTCACACTGCTTATAGAACCGACAGTGTAATGGAAGGAATGGAATCATTTCAAGAAGACAAAAGTACGCTTTAAGAGAAACGTTGAACTTGTGAATTTTACATTTGAAAATCTGTAGCATTTTGTAGTGTAGAGCTGCAATTAGCAGTGATTTCGCAGGATTAGAAATACACTAAATGGAATGGTAAGCTTGGGATGCAACTACGGGAGCGATGGATTGGCATGGCGGAAACAAACATCTGGCAGAGTGCTACTCGGCTCGGGAAAAGCATTCTCGAAAGAGTGAAATAATAACTGAACATTAATGCTTCAAAATGAAAACATAAATGTCGAATAATATGAAAATGAGTAATTGATTCAGAAATGAGGTGTGAGTGGGAAGAAGAATTAAATGCTAACATTATTATTAGCAACTAACTGACAAACACACAAATAATTTAATTATATCAAATCTAATTAAGCTATCGGAAATAAGGAAAAGTGGCTTTGCGAAGAATTTAAAGTCGAAGAGTTCAAAAACGTGATAATATCGGTCAATAAGATTGGCTCATGATATCGAATGAGACGAAGAATAGACTTTATTTCAACTTTTAAAATTCAAACTGAAGTCAACTAAATTAAACCTTCCATCATCAATATTTACTTATATTCTTAACACTTCATACGGATGTCAACGTTTATTTAGAAGTATACAAGCTGCAGTACCTAACTTATTCAAGGCACTAATTATTGAATCAATTTTGCTTTGATCATTTTAATTTCCACGTGCACGTTTACGCCATCTCAATGAAAATATACAGTTACCAGATGAACAGCCTTAATTGACGAGTACACGTCCTGTCATAAGTAACTTTCTGTCAGAAACATGTAATATTATTAAAAATAGAACGTCTCCTAACATAATGAGCATGTGGAAAAAAAGAATGCTTCTTAGCAAATTTGTTTCTAATACTGGGATATTTCCCAAATAAATTTTATTTCATACCACTGATAATTTTAAATCACGACAAAAAATTTTGTATGTCTTTATCAGTCCTCACTGAAATTCACTGAAAACTGATAAGATTTCCGCGTTCACGAATAAGAAAGTAATAACATGAAAAGGCGATGTCGGAAAGTCCTACTACTAAGTAGAAGGACTGAGTCGGCAACTTTTTTTACAAAACTAAGCAGAATTCACGAACATTTACCATTCCGTAGTCGTGAATTCCCAAGAATTTAGTCCACTTCTCTGATAATCACCTAGCCACTTATTAACGTTTGCATACACGTTTCCACACTTCATTTTTTCTTTAACGCTTAGAAAGTGTTTCAAAGACCATATTTCGAGAGAAATGTGATCGAAACTAATTTCTTTTCATTCAAACGAAATAACATTTTACCCGTAACATGAGTTATGATGGGCTGATGCCCTCTTCGACCACATAAAGAGCAAGCAAAAAGAGAAATTCGAAGATGGAAGAAAAGAGAATTTCACGTCAGCCAACGGAAGTAGCAACTCTTAAAGACCGGAAGCTTCTTCGAATTTTTCATTTCTACTTCTCTTTACAACTTGTAATTTTTTTCACAAAAAAAGATACAAAAGAGAACAAATGGACAACCAAAATTTTTATGAATAATTAACAACCACAAATCCTACATACATCTTACTGATTTAAATTAATACTTTTTATCTCATTACCAAGAATTTACCAATCGAAATGTATAGGAAAATAAAATGATTTAGAATTATAAGATCGTTATTTGAGAGTCTGGCTAACAGTTTTTGAGTACTTACTATGTAATAAATTCACTATTTTTAGCACTTAAAAATGCAAAAAAGTCAATGCCTAGGCTTAGGAAACCTTTGCATAAAAAGGCTGAAAATAATTCCCCTCAGTAACGAGCCTAAAAGTTTCATATGTAAAAGGTGAAGAATGTGTGAGAGTGAATTTCTCAGAGGTAAAAGAATGTGCGGGGGAGATAACTGATTCAGTAGAAAATGAAGGAATAGCAAAAACGCTGGTTCTTTGTTGCGTAAATTCAATACATTGATCATTTACTGCTCGCTTCTTCGACAATTTTCGAAATAAAAGAATGACTCAGAAACTCTCACGTATAAAAATAATTCGTGTTTATTGTTTGGTGGATTAAACATGACAGAGACACCTTTACCTTTATTTAATTTAACACAAAGTGTCCAGAGGGAACGTAAAACGAAGTAAAAAGTACGGCTAACGGCGAGACCTTAACTTTACATCGATTTCAGAAGTTTGCAACTGAAAGTATTGAGTGTTGTACACATATGCCAGTGATTCCATGCAGTACCGAAAAAGCCTTGGGAATAAATGTCATAGAAATAATTCATCAGTAGTGGTAATAATTTTGTCATGATTTTACGGATTGTTCTGACTGAACCTAAAACAATCTGTCATTCATTGCAAAAAACCCTTGTTTTCTGATCACAGCTAGCAGAATATGAGTTAAGATTAATTACAAGTTCCTTCATCGCACACCCTCTTATCACTGATGTAATACTCTCTTATAAATGAAATGACAATATTAAAAAACTTCAGCTAATTCAAACACGCTCGATCGTAATGTGTGCGTGTTGTGAACAGATGAGCAAGATTGTAAAGTACTGTTTTCTATCAGTACTGCTGCTGGTCATGTGTTTGGGTGACAGCACAAGTACTACGTGGCAGCACAAGTACATAACCAAACACGTAAAGTGCTTCTGCTTGTGTGAGTGAGAATGTGTGCAAAAAACTATAACTGGATAACTCAGCTTCGTAAAACGTACATGAGACACAGATATTTGTGTCTTAAATGTGGTTAGGTTCTTAAATGATTACTTAGAGTGGCATGAAAATGTGTGGTACGAGAAAGTTGCTGATGAAAAGAAAATGCTGCGGTTAATTGTATAGTGTAAGCATTAGAGACAAAGACTAAGAGACACAGATAAATGCACCTCACACATACACATACAGAGATATGCGGATACACGGAGACATACATGTACACGTGGCTCAGAACGTGGCGAGCAAACAGCCGTTTGTTCGGCAGAGAAAAATCGATGCTTTCGCTTGCTACCATCGCATGGCGGTACTCTCACCTCATCCCATCTCTACTCGGTGCCTCCCTGAAACGTTCTTGTGAGTATGCAAGTGAGTGGGTGAATGTGTTAAGCCATTATCAGACGTTGCTTACATTCCCAGTTGGTTTGAAACACAATAGTAAGCGAGCGAGTCACTCGTTATCTTCAGTAGCGGTTTTCCCAAGTAATACATGCTCAGGATTCTCTGAGGTTACACGTTTGAACGTGCGTGCATTATCTGCTGTATGACTGCAGAGGTACGTTACCTGCTTAAAAAGAGACAAACTGCGAGTGCTGCTCCTGTTCTTCGCAAAAGTGTCAGAGAGAGAGGGAAGCAAGATGTCAGTTAGCCTAGATATTATTTCAGGTTCATATCACCTCATTCTTACCCATTCAGCATTCCCATCCTGTTTGAAATTTTTTTCTTCCAAACGTACCTCCTGTCTCACGTTTTTTTCTACTTCAGGTGCATGTTCTAGTGTCATTACACGATTGCCATAAATTGTCGTAAAACGTGCTTTTGTGAACACTCGCTCTTCTGCTTCATTCTTAATAAAGTATCTCGTCTGTGTATCATTTTGTTGCTACAAAAATTTGTGATTCTTTATTCTTTTCATTTTGCACTTTGAACACTTTTAATTATTTTTATTTTTATCAGTTTGCAGTTGCATACTTTTTTAAGCATTTGTAAGTCAGTTGTCATTATACTGACTCCAACACTTTTTCTTGAGCTCTACGCAATATTTTTTGTCATTTGCGAATTATTTTGCGGCAATCACGGAGCTAATATAATTACATACTATTACACACATGACTTTGTTGCAGTGCTGCGATCGAAATGTCGCAAGGAACTCCTCGGAAGTTTGCGGAGAAAATCGCTATCATGGAAAAGAAGCAGAATGAAGACCAAGAAGTGTTTACCTCCGTGATGCGAGACGTGCGTGCAATTACCAGTAATTGCACCGCTGCCCCTCCTGTCTGCTCTAGTCCTCAAGCTCTTGCTCCTCCAATGCATTGGAACCGTCCCGGTGGTTCTCTCCCAAATGTCCATGAAATGGTGCAGCAGCAACCGGACATCCGAAACTGGCCATACTGGTCTGGCCCTGCTCAGATCAATCCGCCGCACCATGCACGAGGTCGCTCCCCAGGCGCGCCCCATTATCATCCCTACAATAAGTCCTCCAAAAAGTATGAACGGTATTCCCCAGTGGGCCAAATAGACGATCAGCAATTCCATTATTCACCGAACAATCATCTCCTGCCACCGGATGCCCTGTGGCCTAAGTTAGTGTAAACTTTTTTGTAATTCCTTTGCAAAGATATGTTTTAAGCTTGTCTATATGAAAAACGGAAAGGAACTTTGTACGTGTTGCAGATAAATTCCCTAGACACTTTAAAATGTTAATTACATTGATTGGAAGATATTAGTTTAAGATCTTGATAAAGTAAGTGTTCTGATTGGTTCGTTTAATGAGAAGAGCTAGGTGCCACAGCGCATTTCAAGTTTTTGTGACCAATGAAAAATGGAATTAGTAGTTACTGACAGTAATTGTTTTGCTAAGTATTTTTAGAACTCATTCCAATTTTATTAAGATCAAGAAACATACTTTTTAAATGAAGTCATTGAACTTCTTGCAGCTAGCTTTTAAACAATTTTAAAGATTTGTAAGTTGTATAATTCTTCAGTACATGTATTATGTTATATTTAATTTTCAAAATTTGAACATCAACTTTTATTTAAGTGATTGCAGAACTCGCAGCGATCCAACTATATTCATGAATTTATACCAACAGCAGCAACGACTGCAGAACTTCAATATTAATGATTTGACTGTACTGCCACCCAGTCACATATCGTCACCTGTACAGCCACCGTTACCATTACCACTATTTCAAGCAAATACTGCTACCACTACCAGTTCATTCAACAATGGTATGGAACAGCAGGAATTGCATAACAATAATAATGATGATGGGGCAGTTGGTTCATTACCGGATCTCCCAGGACCAGTCGCCGCAATTCCTTCATGTGCCTATCAGCATCAGACAATCACACAACGACATAGTACCAGTTTATGTCATACTTTAGTTACTCCATTGTCGTTAACTGAAACACAGTCAGCACCTACTAGTCCAGCTCAAAGTATTGAGCTACCAGCACCAACATCATGGCCATCACAACGTCATTATTCAAATAGTCCAGAGCCACGAGAAATCCCGAACATCGTTCTTACAGATACTGAAGGACAGCTGGATTGCTTCCAGGATTTGCAGGATTTACACTTGGATGCGAACGAATTGCAGCAGTTGCTAAATAGTGGTGAGCAAGTTGATCCTGTTTGTGAAAATCAACTTCTTGAATGAGTTTAACTTTTTGATTGATTGCTCTTATGATACTCTTATGATCTCTTGTGATCGAATTGATGCTTCAGGAGATGATTATCCGGGTTTTTTGAATCTATATCAAGTGACTTAGTTTTGGACCTTCAAGTATTTAGGATTGATTATCCAGTTGAATATTCAGTTGGCTGAATTTATGTTCTTATTTCATAGGAAAATTTTTTCGCTACAGTTACTGTGGGCATTTTGTGAATGAGTTAGGTGGTCATACCTTAGTATTTATGGTGGGAATTTGTAAAGCATTTAGTCATAAGTTCTGGTTTTTGGCTCCACAGTGAGAGTAGAGATGGACATATTCTAGACAGATTGCATCGGAATCCATTCAGCAGGAGTAATTACTTTTTCTTCTTACTGGCTGCTATCACCGGAAACAGTATAATGTCTAATTCACTAACTTTTATGTGCATTAGTAGTCAGCTGTAGCTACAGGAATCTTGTTTTACTGATCAGGATTGGAAGAAAGTAAAATAGACGTGATGTGAAGGAGTATTTCGTTCAGATGTGCAGTATTTGGAATGCAAGATTAGTTTACCTTGTTAAATTATTCACGCATTATTTCACTCATTGATTTATCATGCAAGTTTTGTGAATGAATTTTGTTGTCTGCCTCATAAAAGTTTGTGTTTCAAATTTTCAAGTACATGAATGCTGCTTGCCTAATTTAGTTCTGGATCTGATTTACTTTAGTCTATGATTTTTTGGGCAAGCAAATTCACCATTTTAAATAAAACAAAAATTCCTGTGTAGTTTCAGCATAAAATCAATTTTAAATTTAAAAAAAAAATTTAGTTCAAGTCTTGCGAGCCGTTTAAAAGTAAATCCAGGCACGTTAAAATGTTGGAGAAATTATGATTCTGGTATTCCTTTATCTTGTAATTTTCACTGCAAAACTCCTCTTCTAAATAAGCTTCTAATTGATGTAACATAATTTTGCTTTCTAACTAAGTAACTGAAAATATGACGAGATCTCCAGCCTCTTCATCATTATTTAAGAGGCAGAGAAGGGGAATTAATTACAACTGACTATTAGTTAGTCATGAATTGGAAGTGTTGTTCATCTGAATTCGGTTTGATTTTAAAAAACTATCACAGGGAAAAGTTCATGAAGAAATTAATCTTCCGTAATTTTACTAACTGACTGTTAAGTGCTAAATTTCATTTAATGAAACCAATGTATTAGTACATAATATATACATAATAATATACTTGCAATTCCCTTCTTAAAAAAACTTAATTTTACAATACTTGTATCTCAGTTTTTGCATATGAGAAGCTGTATGAACGATCCATGTCGTGCATATCACAACTGCATACCGTATTAAACATGGCGTGATTCGTATGCTTGCTTATAATTGAGTGCATTACATACATATGTATTTTCAGTTCGTGTAAGTTTTGCAATTTGAGGTTTATCAATAAGCTCATTTCTAAATGAGAAACTTTTGTAGTATTTTGAGAAATATTGTATGTAATACTTGTGTATTGGTTTCCGTATGTTCTTGAAAATCTCTAAGCTTTTCTCGTGTCCGCAACTTTTTTTCTATGTAATGTATGTGTACCAATATTTTTTTAGTCCTCGAATATATTATATAATGTATAATATGTCGGAGGACTAAAATCATTCATATATATATTAGGTATGAATGATTAATTATTTTGCTCAAATAACATTCGTTCTAAGCGTTTTCCCACGGTGGAAATTCGGCGCATGTATGCATGTAAATACTACAAGAAGGAGATGATGTTTTTTTCCTAATTTCGTTTAAATTTGCAAGAATTTATGCAAGTGTTTACTCTGAATTGCGAACGATAGCTTAATCATAAGGATTGCTCATCTAAAGCAGCTTTTTCGAACTTTTGCTAAAAATTGCCAACAGCTTACTTTGGTAAGATGAAACTGACAATAAGGAAGTAAATATATCGAAATTTATGGCTTGATTTAAGACATGGCAGTGTGTTGTTCTATTTTGGTTTTAAACTTCTAGCTTGAGAGCTATAAAAATTTGCATAGATGGGGAAAGCATCCGGTTCGGGGATATAATTTTGGGAGAGTTGAAATAAATTTTGTGCAGTATGAAATTTAGTGAGCGTAATTTTGCTGGCATTAATAAAAAGCTACCAAGTGATGGATAACCTTCCCAGTTTCGCGTTTTTTATTTGCTATCGATTTGGGAGAGTTTTTGAAGTCATTCTCGATCCAGCAGTGCTTTTTGTTCTTCATTATAGTCATATTATCCGGACGTTTTTCTATTTTCATAACCTTATTTTCTTGTTTTAAAATCACAAGAAGTGTCAGTGCTTTTTATTCCAATTCTAAAAATAAGGAAGAATGAATGCCTTAGTTTAATTTTCGTTCTGAAGCCCAGCGAATACACATTGCTTTAGCTCACTGCCAGACATCATATACCTGGTATTGCACTAGAAATTAAAATGGTTTTCACTTGCATTATTTTCTTCACATCTCTACATTTCTATCTCGCTGCTTCCCTTAAAAAAGTTTACATCTCATATCACAACAGAGAAACTTGTTGGTTTCTGACGACAAACCCCGACACCTTCAAGAATGAACATTATCCTACAACGATGAACAACATTGATTCGTAATCTTACTCTCATAGACTATACATTGAAAGTAGGATGTATGTAAACAGTGAATTCTGAATGCATTTTTAAAATTCTAAATTTAACAAATGCTCGCAATTCTGTCACTGGAAGTGAAACATGATAAATACACTTTAAGAAGATTAAAGTTTACTCTTGTAACGCTATTGTCTCTTTCTCTTAATTGCATTTTCACTATTTTATTTCGTATTGACAAATTGGGCAAGTCAGAGTTTTGTCTTCACTTCACTTTCGGAAGAAAAAAATACTATTTTTTAAGAGATTAAAATTTTTTGAAACACTCATTAGAACAAAATAGTATGCGAACATTAGTAATGTTAGCTAACAGTAAGTGCTGCTCACATGACTTCTCAATCTCTGCTCCAAAAAAGGCATGACATAACAGTACGAAACTGCTAGCACACATACTCCGCTACTTATAATTTTGTTTGCCATACTGCGCAACAGTAAGCAAATTGTTAAATTGGATTCATCAACCGCATCGTCTTATGTTTTTCAGTCCGATCAACAGTTGCATATCTACTTTCGCATCATCAAAACAAATTGTGGATTTGTGCGCATGCAGCAAGATGGAGGTCATTTTTAGCAAGGAATTACTTTCCTTAGGCACTCGAAATTTTCTTCAAGTCTTGAACTGCTTGACAAGTTATGTGGAAGAAATGTACAACTTTTGAGAACACTAACACTGCACGGACAGATGTACGTAGAAAAAGCAAAAAACCGAGCGAAGTCCATTTTTTCCGCTAAGCAAACTTTTCACGGAGTATTCTTACGAGAAACGAGTGAATGACTATTAATTGCGTGCTATAGGTGCCTTTTTATGAGGAACGGATGAAATAATGAAATTACTGAATAAGTTCACAGTGAATAAAATGATTTAAGCGTTATCTAACGGAAAACGCTTAGAATAGAAACAGATATTGCGCAAAGTATTAACTTCATTGGCCTGAAGTTTTTTAGTGGTTTACTTTCCAGTGCTGCTATTGACTTATACAATAACCATGAAAATCAGCTTTTCCGCTTCACTGTCGTCAATACTCTGCAACCTGAAAATGTAGCAAACAGATGACAAAAAGTGAACTTAAAGTTGTGCGAGAGAGAAAAGGATAACTGTGAAACGAATGAAATTAATTCTCTTCCAAGTTACAGAAAATAGACATTGAAGTTTTGCAAATTATAGGTTGTACGGAATAGACCTCATGCAGTGTGTCTAAATTATAAACACAGTCGAACTTTGAGATTCATGTATTTTTTTCAAATTTGAAAATAAAATTCAAATAAATTATTAATATCGATTTTTAATGATAAAAATGTTTACAGCATTTCAAGCCAATTCAACACATAATATAGTTCAAGTCAAATGTTCACAACAACGTAACTTCGTTTAATATTTTGAATTATATGTACATAAATGAGTAGATAATATTTGATTGGTTGATGACGTACGTAGAGGAACTTCACTTCAGAAGCATTTACGTCAGAAAACTACGTGGCTTGTAAGTCTTGAAAAAATGGAACAGTATTACTGGAAGAGAAGAAAAGTTTTTATGGAATCATTCAAAAATTTATGCGGAAATGGTGCTCTCCGCAGTATGATTGAGGGCATTTACTAGACAGACTACCAAAATAAATACTACTCTTTTTCCGACTTATGTCTGAGAGTACTTCACACACTGAATGCGAATTTTTTTCAAATTTTGAACTGAAAAAATTTAAATAAACGATCGATATCGATTTTTAGTTCTTAGTTCTGCTGGGAGTGCAGGAGAATTTATCGCAGTAATTGAAGTAAAATGCTAGTATTTCAATCTTTTAAAGCATTCTTATTCTATCCTCAAACTCTTTGAATTCATATTCCTAAAATGGAAAACGAACAAATCCAAAGATCATTGAAGCCTAAAAGTACATGAAGTAATTACAGGATTTAGCGCTTTAAGAATCACTTTGAGTTTCTAAACAATAAATTTTTCCAAGTTTGAATTTCCCGCATAAATTTGATGTACATACCGTGTACGGTAGTTTGGGTTCGATTCATGATATGTTTATTCATCTCTAGTATTAGTAAATGTAGTGTGCCATACATTCTCCCAATAATTAAGAAGCTTGTAATCTTTAATGAGTATTGATTGAGAGAGCGTTTGCTCGTATTCTAATTCTCATTTTTGTTACGCAGAAACGAGTAATTTATTCTATTTCGATAGTTTTTCATTCTGTGAATTTTCAATCTCTGATAAATGTACGAAATTCTGAATACCATAATTTCTGTAGGTAATAAAAATTTTGATGTTTGATATTTTATTTATTTGTCTAGAGTGCATATTCAGTAGCCCTAGTGATATTATGAATTTGTAAAGTTCAGAGATGCAAAAAATAAATGAGCAAGTAGAGAGATTGATTAAAAGATGTTGAGTGGAATTAGAAATACGTTATTAAAAGATATAAGTTATCGCAGTAATTGAAGTTCAAAGGTGATGAATAATAGAAACCATTTTGTGTTCAAAGGTTATGTTATTTGAGGGTATGGTATTATATTTGCATATTAAATGTACTTGAATGCATGTATGTGTATGTGGACGTTTGTTCTAAAAGTAACTGAAAAAAGAACCTTGAAGGAACAGCGTGCTTGTTTGCAAATTAGCGACGTCTGGAAATGGCAAAGAAGAGTTTCGAAGATATTGCTTTTGAACTATTCAAGAAGTTTGTCTTACTTTTCGATAGTAGAAAAAATGGTCTTTATTTTATAATGTTGTAATTTTATACGGACATATTAATGCTTGTTTCACTTGTGCGTATAAAATAACTTTCAGGCTTTGTCCGGATAAAAATTTAAAATATGAACAAATTCCGTATCAGAGAGTAAGAAACATTGTAGAAATGCATCTAAATAGCATGGATCCAGAGAAGAAGCAACATTTGCTTGCTCATTTAAGTGGTGAATCCGAGCAAGGACCAAGTGGTTGGTTTTTCGCTAATTCTTTGGGGGCCTTGTTTAAGACTTGAATGAGTAAGTTATGTATTTACCTGTACTGGCAAAAATCGGTTCTCTCAAAGACAAACAGAAAAAATTATTTTATTTTGGTTTAATCGTGAAAAGAAAACTAGAACAATTACGGCTTTTGAAAATATTTGAACCAGTGTTATCATAAACTATTTCAAGTAATGCAAGTTAAAAATTGTCATGAAATTTAAGAAAGATTGAAAAATCCTTTCATATTCTGTGCATTAGATTTCAGGGAAATAAGAAAAATGTAAATTAAGTTTTTAATAGAAACTCAACCAAAAGTCGTTAGTAGAGGAGCATCTCCAGTTAAGCCAAAATCAGTATCAGAATATCGAAATGCCCTTCTTGCTGAAAGACATCATTTGTTGCCGAAACTAGAAGATTACAATGAAGCTCAAAAAATTCATCTCAGATACCCAAAGAATGTAAGGAAATTTGTAAGGGCTCGTACTGATCGTAGATTGGCTGCAGAAACAAACGATTTCGTAAATATAGGTTTTTGTTTTCTTATTTCAGAACTTATGTATTTTATTTACTCAAAACCTCCCATGTTTGCGTTTGCGTCAATGAATCAATTATAAACTGTACCAGAAAATTTTCTGAATCATTGTAACATATTATGATGTGAATTTGATTTTGGTTCTGGTAATATAAATAGCAAGTAAATTTTTCATTTGCTAGTAACTAGTTACTAATTTTCATACATTTGCATTCCTGTGATAGTTTGATTTTTCACAACAAATAAATTTATTCAGCTAGGGATATAGTAGGAAATATATTGCTGCATTTAAAGCATTGTTTCATCTTATTGTGGGACAGTGACATATTTCATTTGTAAAAGATATTTTGTTTAGTTTGTGATGAGAGGAAATTGCCGGAGATCTTCCTTTCTATCTATGATCAAATTTTAAGAAAGCGTAAGAGTTCCTTACAGTGTTATCATGCGATTATCAATACTCTACACCATTACTACATGCGTACAACTTGGTCAGATCTTGTTCCGGTCAGTCATGTTGATTTCTAACTTTTTTAGCTTATTTCTAGGAAACTTACATAGAAAAAGGCATATAGCATCTAACCTAAACTTAAAAGCAGAATACTATATAATATATAGATTTCCTTTTTCATAAGAAGGTTCAAGCAATCATGTTTCAATTTTTGATGTTTTTGAGCAATTATGAGTGCTTATCTTATATTTTACGATCTTAGGACGCGGTGAATGAGTTTATCCAAAATCATATTATACTCACATGTAACGGTTTAACAACGAAGTATGATCGTCAAAATCGAGATGCAGATATTTTTGAACGTCTTCGTGAATACGAATTAATGGTGCTTTTGGAACTTCACCTGATTAAAAAATGTCCAGATCGGATCAAACAAACTGGAGTCTGTTTTAATACTATTAATCGCTTTTTAATGCGATTTCGAGAGTGATCTGTCAAGTAAGCAACCGCTATATTTATTGATCATAAAAATCTGATTTCAGGTTGTGAGCAAACTGGGATTTCTGGTCTTTGTAGCTGACTCTGTGTACATGAAGAATTTTCTCGACGAAACTATTTGTGATCAGTAAGTGAACACCGTAACGATTTTGTCATGTTCCATTAGTATTGTACGAATTCTCAAGACAAAAAATATAGCAACCAAGTTCTTATATAATCACGTAAATGACAAGTTTGTTTTTGCGAATGAATTTTATAGTCATTTGTTGTTTTTTTAGGTTTGCTCATATCATGCCTAAAGCTATTGTTGTCATTTACGATGAACTGTGTCTAAAATTGCCACTTGATCTAGAGGATCAATCATATAAAAGTAGTTCAAGCAAAACGCTTGAATTCCGAGAGGCAGGACGAAGAAGTAGTCGAAAGTCAGGTCCAGGAAGTGCAAAGTTGCTTGAATTAGAACGGAAAGTTGCTGAAAAGAAGACTCGAAGGCAAAAAAGATACGCAAAATATAAATCTATGGAGCTCTCACCGGAAGCGGAACGCAGTAAACGAAAAGCTCGTCATCGTACTCGAGTGAGACAGGCAGAACGAGTCTCAAGACGAATAGCCGCTCGAGAGAAAGCGAAAATAGCTGGTTCTTATTTACGTATTTGAGTTTGATTTTTTTCCTTTCATAAAGCACAGTCATTCAGGGAAAATTATGGTGCAGGTAAGTGAAAAAATTCAAATTACTTGTTAGCCTTTGCGATTTTTAATCGGGTTATTTTTTGCATGTGATATATGCTGATGTATTCATGAGAAAATTTAAGGTGAATGGGCTGTCTGTGATACAATAATTTTGAAATTTGACAAACAATATGTTTTACTAGCTGTTTCTGACGAGACTAATCATTTGCTGTTTGTACATGAGGTGTAATGAAGAATCTATTTAAGTATGATATTGAATCTCTGCATGGTTTTGTAAGCAAGCTATATGTTGCTTGAATTGTCTTTATCTTATGATTGATCTGTTACTGTGATTTTTTATGTCCCTAGTTCTAATAGAATAATTTTTTTTTCGTATTAAATTATAAACCATAATTTCATTACAGAACTCAACTTCTAACAACTCTTTCGGAAGCAGATAATGATATATCGTCTGGGTAGGGCTTACTAATTGTTGAAACGTCTACACTCTGTAAAAAATTCCCAAAATTCGAGTAAACCCTTATTGCCATGTCGTTTGCAGGAGAAAAAGTAACCACCAAGTTCCAAAAACTTTCAGGAAGAAAAATTTCTATATCTGCTGAGAACAGAGACGTAAAAATTTGACCCATTATTTTAATTTGATTACTTTGTTGGTTTTGAAAGGCATCTGCAAAAATATTGATCGGAAAATTGGAGATTCCGAAGTTCTGCCGTATCAAGTGTGTACAACTCTGAACGTCTATTTCGAGTCATTCCTGATCTTAAATTATCTAGAAATTTTGATCCGTCCCAAATGTCCTCAATGGAGTGTCACATGAACTGACATTGGAGTTCGGTTGGAACTGTTAATTTATACATCTATTAACTGTAAGGGTTGGATCATAGTTCCATATATATATAAATGACATTTGCTGACCTTTCAAATAATTGAGGTAAGAATTTTGCATACTTGAGTTAGGACATACTTGTTCTGGAGAATCATGTGTTTACGTAATAGGATTTCTACAAAGTCACATTACATTAAAGTTAAGTATTCTAAGGAACATGTTGCGGCCCTGGACTTAGTTTTTTTATGCATCATAAGGTATGTACAAGCAATGCTGACTATTTTGATCGGATCGATGTGGCCCACTACTCTTGATTTTACTCAGCATAATTTGGAGTTAATATAAAACTCTTACCACAAATTATCTTTCGCGTGAAATGCTCACTATACAAATTCATAAGCTGTTGGACCGACAATGTAAAAAATCAGCAATGCCATCGCATCAAATGTATAGTCATGAGATTCCGAAGACCAGAGAACGGGTCTCTATAAGAACAAGGTAAACACTTGTGATCTGTTGCAGCTCTCTATACCTACCGTTGCGTATCTTGTGGGGATGGCAACTAACTCTATTTGTTTATTTTGTAGCGGTTGTATTCACATTCTGTGAGACCAAAAAAGTATTTAATAGTTTATAACATGTCGATCCAGTCAGTAGTAGATTTGTAGTCTCTGAAGTAGGGGAGATTTATTTACGTAGCTGCATTTAGCTGATATTTGAAGAAGTACTGCTAACGACTGCATATATGGCATGGTTTTTGTTTACTCGCATCTGTAACTTTTAGTGTTCTACTTACTGCTTGTAATTTCTACTTTTCAATATAGAATTTATAGTAATGTATACTGCAGTGAGCGTACTATCACTGCTGTAAGTGAGGAGAGATTAGAGTACGTGTTTAGATCTAAATAGTGTCGAAGTAGCATTCATTGAAGACCTGAATAATATTGGAGCAAATTTCCATTTAATTATTTCTCATATCAGTACAATTCATTTCTAAGTAAATAATTTGTCTGAAATGAATAATTGGATTTCGTACTGATGTTATGCGTAAAAAGAAGATGAATGATGAAGTTTAGTGGTATATAGTCTTTTAGAATTCTTCGTATCCATGAATTAATAGCTAATTAATTTATTCTCACTTGGTTATATTTGTTATTGGGAAGAATGAGATGGTTCTGATGAAGTATTCCATTTTACTGTAATAAACGGGCGTAAGGACTTTCTCTTAAGACTTCCTGGATTTCTGTATTTTGTTCTTAGTTCTGTTGTTCATTGTAGTGCAATATTTGTCTCCGTTACTTCAATTAACTAAATATTTTACTCCTATGTGATCAGATAGTTAGTTGTACCATTTTCACTTCATATCTATTGATTACAAAGCCTTCTGTTCGAATTCACGCAAAGATAAGCTTAAGTTTGATATTGAATTACATTTCGTTTGCTCTACTGTGCATTTAAATAAAAGCAGGTGCTATAATTTTTGAAATGGGCTTCGTAGTGAAAAGTTTATTGTCACTTCTTTTTAGAGGGTTTACATTTTTTGTGAATATGTTGGACAGTAGTTGTAATCTATGGCTAAGTGCCTAATGAATGACAATTTTTAACCAGTTTGTGTATAGATTTGCTGCTCGATTAATAGTTTTATGGCTTAGGTTAAATAGCTTACCAGTAGTGATACGATCCTTCGTGCGAATAAGTCATTTGGAAATATTTACTTTACATGTATCCTTACTGATCCATTTGTTGCAATAGCTAATTAAATCCTCAGGCAGATTTTTTATTTCACTTTGCGCTCACAATTTTCGTTTGTGAACAGTTAGTTTTATGAGAAGTTATGGTGGAATGGTCGCTTCCAGATATAAAAGTTTTCAGTCATTTGCCATATTTTTTTAATTTACCAAAGTTTTAAGATGAGCTATTCTAATATCAGTTATGTTTCATTCTGTAAGCTGATTGTTTTTTATTTTAAACTTGATTGAGGCGTTTTTTATAACATATGTATCTGTCGGATTTTAACCTAAAGTTTTTTCATTTTTAAACTTTTCTCTTCTATGTGTGTAAGAATATTCACTGGGAAAAAGTGCACTTCTATAATTCTTGCAATTCTAATTATTGTTTCCTTGACATGTTATTATATTAATTTACTTTTTTTATTTTATAACAATATATTTCTAACATTATTTTCAATTTATCATTTTTTTGAGTCCTTAAAAAATTTGTGAGTTATCAGTATTTTTAGAAAAAGAAAAAGATGAAGATGGCGAAAAAAGTAATGAAAGTAGCGATTCATCTTCAAATACTATAAGTGAAGGTGATGACCTTGGAGCAGTACTTGTACCGTCAACACCGAAATCAAAGTTGAAGAAGAAAGCAGAGGCAAAAATGCCCAACGATGATGATGAAAACGTCATGCAAACACCTCTCGATAAACTGAATCGTGGTGAGCCATTTCCGATTTGGTTCGAAATTATTATTTTTTGAACTGAGTCTAAAACTTCTGTTTTTCTTGTATAAATCTGTGCTAAAATGTAAGTCTTATAGAGTATTTTGTAGTGCTATTTGATTTATTTACTTTGAGCTACTTCATTGGAATGACGGCCGAACTATATAAAGACATTAAGAGCTCCGAAAAAATAAATCCTACGTAAATATATACTAGCAAAGAAGAACATAAAATTCTCGTTAAGAATAATAGATCAGAAGAGACCAAATACAATAAATATGCATTTTTTTTCAAAAGTAAAAAAATAAAAATTATTATGCTCATGAAAGTCTTAATCAAGCCAAATTTAATCTTCAGTGCCGAGGCGTAGAAATGAGAAGTTAGCAGCATTACTGGAAAAAACATTGAAAGCTCAAGCTGAATCTCCAAAGAAAATGGGATCGTCAGCCAAAATACATCCTAAAAAATCTTCTGTCACCTCATCATCTGCTTTATGCAGTACCAATTATCCTTCACGAACACGTTCTGCACGTGTCAATTTAAACGAACGTTTTGCTGCAGAAGATAAACTAAAAAAGGAGAGCAATTCTTCTTCTAGCATATCACCAGAAATGGTAAGTAACGACATCAAGTAGTTTTTGCTGTCAAATGACTCTTTCGAAAGTTATGATGTCATTGACTATAAATTTTAAACTTTCTTGATGTCATGAAATCAAAATGTTTCTCAACTGTAGTAAATTTGTGTAAGAAGTATTTAACTAACTTATTAAATTTCATTTTCACTATATTTTTTTACATTTGTAACTAACTAGAACAACAAAAATGTTGGGTAAGCTGAAATGAAATCTTAGCTATTCAAAAAATCATGGTTTCACTCTGTGACCGAAGTTTAGATTCATACTTTAATATAAAAGTATTTTTTAATAGAATATTTAACGTCTGCTCTCCAATATTGTTTAAGCCTATTCATATCTCAAATCCATTTTATTTTGTTTGTATACTTTTTCTGAGAGTTCTAGAAAATGTCTCTAAGAGCATGTGACTCAAATTCATGTGTGAATTTAATGCAGCTTGTTTACGCCATGTCTTAAATATGAAGATTCTTAATGGTTTTATTATCAAATTTAGTTGCTGAAGCAAAAAAGGGTCAAGTGGAGTTTTGATAATTTCTTCTTTGCTTTTCATGTAGACGCTTTCAACGTTTTAAAATATTTGCAATTTCATGCTTTTAGCTACGTGCTCCAATAAGCTTAACACTGGATAAAAAAATCATTGGACGGTATCGTAAACGCATCGAAGAAATCCGTCAATCTGCGCCTACAAGCAATAAAGATGAGGTAAATCCGTTAGGCTTTTAATGTTACTTATTAGTTTGGTATGCTGTATGAAAATCGCTTTTCATTGGGATAAAAGTGAAGAACTGATGTATTCAAAAAATTTTTGACAGAAGATTTTTACTTAAGCATTTTTAAGGCCTAAATTTCATCATTCTTAGCGAAAATGTTTGCTTATTTTGATGATACTCAGATTATGTGTTCTTTAAGAATAGTAAAGTTGTTGGTAGAGTAACTGTTTACAGGTATTTTATGGTCGTTGTACATCACGTCACAATTTGTTTGATGATAGCATTGATAAGAAGAGTGATGAGAAGATTAAAGCACGATCTACATGTATTCAGAAAAATCGTAGCGGTCGTTCAGTACAAGCAAGCCAAAAAGTTTATATGGCTCATGCTTTACTTAACGTGTACAATAACGATCCTCTGAATCCTTCAAAGCCGCCCAAGGAAGCTTCATTTAAATTACATCGTCTTATCCGTCCAGCATGTAAATCTGACAAAAAGAAACTATCTAAGCTACGGTGATTTTGCAACTTTTCACTTAACTTCTGCTTTTCTTGGATTTTCTAATTAAATGTTGTTGCCATTCATATGGTTTAGTTGAAAAGTTACGACTATTGTAAGCAATATTTGAAGTGTTCATTATTTATTTAATTTAATAGAGCAGCAGAAGAAAGATATTCTCAAAAAACTGATATGAACAAATAAATGAATGAAATAACTATAAATATATTATAATTATAGCTGTAATAATTATAAATATATAATAAATAATGATGATAAATCGTTTATAATAAGTAATAAATAATAACTAGTAACAAGAACGGAAGAAGAAATAATAATATTAGTGATAATAATATACTTTTTTGTATTAAATGATATAATTGTGCTCCTATTGTAAATCGTTTTCATTCCAGACTTCGAGTAGCTCGTGAAAAGTCTCTACCGTCACTTTGGAATAGTGCATCATGTGCTGAAGATGCTTCTGATTCTTCTCATGACAGCAAAGCAAAGTCAGAAAGTCCTCCAGGAAAATTCACGGAAGGAAACGAAGAGCGAAAATTTGATCACATGGAGAAGTTATCAGAAAAAGAAAGTTTAATTAAGTCAGAGGATGTTTTCAAAGAACCGGATTCAGGAAAATTATCTAAGAGTTCTACTTGCAGTCTTAAGAATACAGGCACTAGCTCTGATTCTTCTTGTGCATCATCAGTGGAAAAAAGGGCTAGAAAAAGAAAAGGTTCTTCGTCCTCAGCAAATGGATTGTCGCTAAATCAGCTGCATTATTTGGATAAATTACAGGATGAATCGCCAGTGAGAGGAGAACTGGTGAAGGATTTAAATGAAACAAAGAAAATTGCTGAGTCGTTTGGCACTGCCATCGATTTTGTTCCAGAGGGATTGGACTCAGAAAATGCTTCAGAGCAAATCATGAATGTTGATCAAGAAACTGCAGTAGGTACCATCGGGTATGAAACTGAGAATCAGTCAGGTTCCATGGGAATATCAAATAATATCGAATATGAAACTGAAGATCGTTTAACTTCCTCCGAAATATCCACTAATATGAAAGAGAGATGCGCTGAAGAAATGGAATCATTATCAAATAATGTCGAAAAAAAACAAAATATGGATGGATCTTAGATTTTGATTTTGAGTGTCTTGAAAATTTAGTGAATTTTTGTCTGGTATTAAAAAATGTACCTTTCGATTGCAATTTATTAAAAGCTTGTGTTTCTGGGTCTTATTATTTTGTTTTCTTTGAATTTGCATGGAAATCCATCTTTTTCTACATTCAGATTTTTATGCTTTTAGCTATTTCATTTCGTATTTTGCATTTAACGTGATTCAGTATCCAGAATTTGATTGGTTGTGATTTTGAAATTTCACAATGAAGTAGAAGCAAAAGTTCGCTCTCATTCACATTGTTCATGTATTTAGTTTTTGATATTGTGTTTTAGTTTTTCGTAAAATTGTATCGGTAATAGAGGAACATAGGTCTCATCTACCATATTTTGATCAAATATATGGGTTAAGTATCTCGTCAGATATTGTTCCTTTAACTTTTGGCGCTGAAGCAAATCTTGTTTTGCAAGTTTCTGTGTTTTGCTTGTTTTAGGATGTTTTTTATCATATTTATGTCTTTTATTACCAGGTTTGAGATCTTCGTCATTATTTTTGCGGAAAATTGAAACTGCCCGAACCAAGTTTGTAGAAAAAAGGATTGAAATTGATATTATCTATTAATTGATTTTACTTAACTGAGCAATGGGAGTTGCTGATTTAATTGTATTTTAGAGACAAGGAAGAAAGGAAGGGATACCATTTTGGAATATAGTGATGTGTGAGCATCTCTTGTCAATTGGATTTCTAAGCAATGAAGTAAAGAATATGAAAGTGAATTTCATACATGTTTAAAATTTATTGGGACTGCTTAAATGGAGGGAAAAGATATTTGTGTCGTTAAATCATTGTGGGTAGCTTAGTTCCATATCCAAAGTTGGCAGAAGAAATAAAGTTTTCTGAAATCATTAGAATTTATATGTCGACATATACTTATTTTCGTCAGTATGAGGTCGCGTTCCTGTACTTGTTTTGTCTAGTGTTCAGAATGCCAGCTTTTAATAAAATTTTTGTACTACCTGTACTTAAATGCTGCTCACAGTTTGTTAAAAAAATTCATCTTGGCTATTTTAGTGATTCAGTTTTCGTTCCTAGCAAGCTCTGCGTCGGAAGTAGTTTGCAGGCCTGTTTGTTTCTTTTTAAAGTGAAGTATGGAGTCAAATTGTTTGATTCTTCGCTGGGAATTTATGCAGGTTCGTAAGTCGCGCGACTACAATTTTGCCAGAATATTTTGAGAATTTCAACCTTAAAGTTTCGTCGCCATACTGATTATATACTTACTTTCGCAATATGTAATTACATAGATTTTGAGAACATTAACTCCAGCTCGTGAAAGTTTAGAAAGCTTGTTTTCTGGGATTAAACTGAATTCTTCTTGCAAACTTTATGGAGAATCGTATACGTAATTTGGAGTTCACTTACGATGTAGAGTTTCCTTGCAATGTGAACTCCACATTGCAAGATTCAGACATGTTCGGTATGTGGAGAGAATATAACATCATTTGTCGACGATCGATCTGTTGTATGTTGTAAAGTAATAGTGGAGTAGAATATATTTAAGTGGTATTACTACGTTTTCATTAAAATTATAAACATTAGAATAACAGAGGATTTTAGTGTTGCAGCAATTTCTAGTGCTATGTCGTACATGAATTTTCGCCTTCACGGATGAAAAGAAGCAGTGCAAAGCGACTAGCTCAGCAACGACACTTGAGGCCTCGTCTAGAAATACGGGAAGAGGCAAGTTGTAAATTTATTCTACAGACATTGTTGGAATATACATATATATATGTATAAGTTATATTACCTAAGTTTGAGGAAAAATGAGGAGTATGGAATGGAAATGGAAGTGATATGGATGTATTTGCAAACTATTTCTCACCTAATGAGTCTTTAATCAATCCACCTCATTTTCTTGATTATTTCGATCTCATCCCAAAATGAATCATGGAATTAATATAGAATCATGGCTGAAATTTCTATTCATTTGTCACCAACATATTTGCTGTGGCGTTGACTATTCAAGTACACCTTTCCTACACCTTGGGCTCTTTTCGAAGACAGCACAATTAACGGGAACAAAACCATAAGCTAAATAATTAACATTTCATTAATTCTCGGCCTTGCCGGGATCCTGAGCAGTTGGCTCCGAGATTGGTCTGAGCCCTATATTCAACGAACATAAAAGAGAGGCTAAAAGGAAAAGTCCACATCCGGAACCATAAATGAAAATAATGCAAAAACAGATGAGGTTGGGGAAAGCTATGTGAAGGGTTTAAAAGAACATACTGCTAGTATACCGGAACCCAGTGCCAGCAGAGTGATCACGCTTGAAGCAGTCGTTCGTGAAACTGAAACCCCACAAAGCAAGTGGCCAGGAGAGGTGCTGAAAGCGGTCCTTGACCGATTTGGAAGAATGCCGAGAGAGGTTGGCCATTGTGTCTTCTTTGTATAGCGAGAAGTTTTCATGTGCTATTACTTTCGAAGAACTGAAGAAGCAAGCGAATTCTGTGATCACCAATATTGCAGGTCGTCCGTGCTTACACAAACGGTTCGTAGAGGAGTCCACGGAACGTGTCAATTCACAAATTACGCACTTCGAGGAAGAGACGCTACAAGAGTCTAAGGTTTATCTAGATATGAAGGAAAAATATCTGCTGCTGATGCATGAGGCACAAGGACGTGAGATAAACCAGACAAATTGGACGCGAAAAATAACATCTGAGAGCCTGGACCCCTCTCACTAGGAGCAGTAAACCAAGAGACAGGTGAATATGCTACACAGAATCCCCCCAAGTCCATGACTGGTATTGCAAGGCAGCAGAACAATGTTATGAAGGTATGATGAGGCGAGAGAAGAAGCCATC